AAGAGGGAAAAAGGTTTTAAACATGTAATAAATCAAAAAAGTACTTCAAATAAATTCTTTCAAATTGAAAAAGAGCTGAAAAAATCAATGCAAACGAAATAGACAACCAGTAAAATATCTGAATGCCTGCCTGTGTCATGTTTTCATTTGTAACGAACAAACTATTCAGCAAATAACAATAGAGCACTATATAAATACATAAAATAATGCAATAGAACATCAAAGTAATTGAAGAGTAAAAGTTATCAAGACTTGTAAACATACATTTTTTCAAATTAAAAAGAAATGTCGCATAGTCACACGAAGTATAATAAATAAATGAATAAAAAATTAAAGTCAGCATTATCTACAACCGTTAAAAAAATTAAAAATTAAGTGGATGTTGAAACTAAAATGGAAAACCATTAAAAATACTCAACAACTAATTAACCACGCATTGATTAAAGTGTAAATAATTAACAACAGAACAAATTATATAAACAAAAACAAGAATAATAATATTAATAAAATAATAGTAATAATAACAATACTAATTGTTGGTTTTTGGGTCTTGCACAGAAGGGTATTCAAGAAATCAAAATGAATTAGTATGAAATAATGTATGTATGTACGTATGTACGTAGGTATGTATGTATGTATGTATGTATGTATGTATGTATGTATGTATGTATGTATGTATGTATGTATGTATGTATGTATGTATGTATGTATGTATGTATGTATGTATGTATTTATGAATGAATGAATGAATGCATATATATTTACCTATAGTATATAACTAGTAGTATAAACCAGACAGATAAAATAAATACGCTAACAACAAAATGATAATAATAACAGGAATTATTATTATTATTATTATTATTATTATTAATTTCCTTAAAAACACTCCAGATGTAAATCATCTTACAAAATAATATACGAATAATTGAATTCCGTCTGAAGATAATAAAATCGAATACAATGCATTGAAGCTCATTGGCGCGCCTTAATACTACTGTATTTTAAACTAACAATCAATAATAGAAACAGGTGGATAAATAACTAACTAATAATAATAATAATAAAAAATATAGTAATAATAATATTGAATAATAATGAATAATAATAAAAAAATAGTATGACAGAGTGAGAAAGGTGAAACAGAACGGTGAAAGAAAAAATTCTTAACATTTGTCATATTATATTTAATAATGACGATTCTAAATAAATTTATTTAATTATAAATGAATGAATACAAATAAATAAATAAATATTTAATTATAAATGAATGAATACAAATAAATAAATAAATAAATATAAATACATATTTTTATTTCTTAATTTATCTATCTAGTTGTTTCTCCTATTGGTAATGGAAAAAATTACTTCATAAGGCCATCACATCATGCTGATTAAAATCCCTTGGCGGATTAAACTAGAATAACTCAACAGATATTATCATTATGAATTAGTGTAATGCTACCACCCAATGTGACGTAATCAGATGTAATAGGTGATATGAGGCGAGGACCTGATGCTAATGATAGCGTTGATGATTCCTGAGTAGAAGTTGGTGATGATAACGATGATAAACTTTGACCCGGCACCGATGATGATGATGAGGATGAAAACTGAGATGATGTTGGTGACGTTAATGATGATGGAGGTGATGTCTTTGTGAGGGAGGTGGTCGTGATGTAGTGTGGTGTGGCTTCGTAGTTGATGTCGTTGTTGTTGACGATGTTCTTTTTGCTGTTGTTGTTGTTGATGTTGTTGTTTAGGATGTTGTTGATGTCAACGTCTCGTTTGTAACTAATGTAACAATTGCCGTTGTTACTCTCGTTGCTCATGTTTTTGCTCATATTTCTATTGATTTCGCAACTTTTACTGTTGTGGTTGTTATCATCTTTATGATCATCGTAGTAGTTGTCATCGTCATCGGGGCAGTGGTCATCATAATCAATATCATCATGATCGTTGAAATTGTGGACGTTATTGTTGTGGATGATGTAGTTGGCGGGGGAGGTGATAGAAGTGTAGTTAACATTTGTGTCGTTGTCAGTTTCGTTGTTTTTGTTGTTGTTTACGCTATTGTAGTTGGTCATAGTAATGTCATTGTTACTATAGTTGCCAACGTTTTCACGTACACCATTGTAGACACTGGCCAGACTTATATCATTATTCAATACATATTCCAAACCCTGATCTCCTAAGTTTAAATTATTACTCACTTTATCCATCCCATTGCTGAAGATAAAGTTATTATTATTATTATTATTACTACTACTACTACCGTCACCATCATTATCGCCATTATGGTTATTATCATATGGTTGTTGTTTCGTAGGATACAGTATCTGATCAGATGATAAGACAGCGTACGAGTTGATATCATGAACCAGAGGTATCTTGCAATATTCAGAGATGGGGTTTGTTGATGGACGTTGTTCAGCCAAAGGGTTGTTGTTGTTGCTGCTGCTGCCAAGAAGTGGAAAAATTGCATAATTAACTTCCGTAGTATCATTTTTACAATTGTTATTATCCTCGGCGTGTTTGTCGTCAGTGTGGTTGTCGTTGGAAACAGTAGAGCTGCTAATGTTGGTACTCTTACTGATGTTAACAGGACTGATGACGTCAACGTTGTTATTCTTGTTGTCGTCGCGAACGCCAGCTGACGCAATGACGGCGTAATCCACATCAGCATCATCGCCCTTGACCTTCTCGTCATCAACACTGGCGATCTGATTGTTTATGTTATTGACGATAGGTTCACTCACATCAGCGTTCACTTGCTTTCTGTCGAGAGCAAAATTTGAAAATTGGAATCCGTCGAATCGCTGGTTGATGACGATCCGCGGTAACTTCCAGTCGTCGTCATCGTCATCGTCATCATCATCGATAATGTCGTTTAGACTGGCAGGAATGCTGGCCACGGAGTCGTTGTAACTCAAGAGAGCATCATTTATAACTTCAGATAATCCTAAATAATTTGATTTCGAAACACTTGATGCATTTTTCACGTAAGCCAGATTCTTGCTGTCCTCGTCACTCATCGTTATGTAGCCTAACTTATCGTCACCTTGACCTTTCAGATGGACGGCGTTGTTGGAGACTGGAACGTTCTTCTTGCCACTGATCTTGCTGTATCCATCTGTGTTGCGGTTGTCATCCTCTTCCTCCTCCTCTTCACTGTTGTTGCTGCTGTTTCGATGGCGTCGATACTTGCTGCCATGGTTTGCTTCCTTACTGTCGCTTACTAGCTCACCAGAGTTCAGTGGTACGCTTTCGTTTTGTTTGTAAATCTGAAAATGTATTGAATTGAATCATTCCTATGAAAATTGCATCAAACTGCCAATTAATTTGACCTGTTTTGCTTTGTATTAACATAAACCACATTCCATATAACCGAAAAAATGAATAAAATAAATAAATAAATATGCGATTAAACTAACAATGTGATAGCTATCGTTGGGCAGAGCTATTCCAACATTTTCTCTAAATTTGCGACGGCATCTCTTGCAGGCTCTGGTGAAATTTTCAATAAACCATTCTATAATATAAATCAGGTGCAATCATCAATCGAATGTCAGTCATCACCATCGTTATTATCCACACCAGCTACTTAACTGTAAACGATCCCACAAGTATAGAACTCTTCTGCTGCTTCAGCTCCGTTTAAAATTAAAACTTGAATTAGTGGGCAAAACTTTTTCCTCATTTCAATATTTAAAGAAAAAGAAAAAGAAGAGGAAGAAGAAGAAAAGGAAGAATAAGGTCATATAAGTTCAAAAGTCTTCGGAAAGATAATAACAAATTATAATGCAAACTATGAAAATGAATTATATGACGAAATAACGTCATTTAATGGCCGTTTATAAAATTACAAATGAAGATGGATGAACTTGAAAGCCCTGAGAGAAGTAGAGCTACATAAAAAATGATGCTACTGACATTAATTATTACGAGAAGTAAAAAATCACAAACAGATATGATACAATAACGTAAAATAATACACACACACACGCGCACGCACACATTTATATATATATATGTATAATATAAAATACACAAATATTTGTCCATATAAGTACAAAAAGATATATACATAAAAAATGCATATCTACAGCCATACACGCACAGAATTGTTCAGAAATACATACAAAGTGAAATACATATGACATACAAATTGTTCAGATACATAATCTATGGTCATTCAACACACTATAAAATTCCTGTAAAAATAAATAAAAAAAAAAAAAACAAAAAATAATTACTGAATAAAACCAAATAATGCTAAATCAAACTAGTAGAGAAGAAAACTTATACAGACAGTTACATCAACATAATTTTGTTTCGTTTAACATTGTCCATATTAAAAAAATTATCTAGTATGCCACCTGAACAGAGATGTTCCATGTTTAAACAAAAAAGTTCGGTAACTAATATAAAAATATCGAAAATAATACATGAAAGGAATGTTAGATGTTAACCGTTAGTAAATGAACGAACTTAAGTATGTTGGCAAACCAGGTGTTGGTTGTTAGGAAAATCGAACTGTTAATGGTCGTTATAGCTATTATATGAATAAATTAAAAGGAGGATAAAATAAAATAATAATAAAAAAGGCTAACATTTATTTATGTACACAAACACATGTACATAACACGTAGAATAAAACCGATGTACCCACACGCTGAAAATAAAAAATTGCCCCATATTAATAAATACCTTGGATATATACAACACCTAACCATATGTACATATAAAAGTAGACATGCACTTATATAAAGTCGAATATATACAAATAAATACCCCGGATACATCTAACCATATATGTGTATAAGAGTAGACACGCGCATATATAAAGTTGTATATATACACATATATACACAGAAACACGTCTTCAAGCATGCAAAAGCAATTAGGACAGAGAGAAATGGGGTAGGAATCTGGCAAGCAGATCATTAACACTATTTCTTAAATGATTCAACCTTGTTGTTAGTGAGTTAAACTTTCGAGATAAGGATGACGACTTTGAACCACATTGAAAAATAATCGATGGAGAAGACAAAGCTACTAGATTTTTCGCTCCTCATCTTACTTTTTCACCTTCATCTCAAAATTTTCCATTCATTTCTGCATACTTTTGAAAACTTTCATTTTTAAACTGATCAAATGATTTCAATCTGCCCCTTTCAACCAACAACCCTACAAAAACTAGAACATAGTGGTTACTTATTATTGGTAAAAACACCTCGTTCAATGATCACAAACTGCAGACACACACACACACACACACATCACACACATATATATATATATATATAATATATAATATATATATATATATATATACACACACACAAACGAACACACAGACACACACACACAAACCTAGGCAAAGGCACACGTAAGTTCACAAGGCTTGCACACCGACTTACCTACATACGAAGTAAAATCCAATAAGAAGGAGAACGGCAATAACGACAAGAACACTGATCACCACTGCCAAGTAATTCGATTTGGTCCAATCTGTTCAGTTGTTTGTTTTTTTGTTTGTACTACAGTTTTATATACAATAATAACAAGGTGATCTGTTAAGGTTTTAGGATTCATCATCTCTTTACCATTTCATAAGTTAATGAAAAAAAAATGGTACAATTTCATACATACAAAATGTTAAAAACAAAATAGCACAAAAGTAGAGAATGGACTACCGTAATGGAGGTCAGTGATGTACAAATATGTGGCGGGGATGTCGCTTGCTCCACTCATGGCCTGGCTGGTCATCGTGAACAAATAGCGGCTACCAAATTTCAATTCCTTGAGTAATAAGGAATTCACGCTGTTTGGTATGGAATCAATGATTACTCTGGTAGGCTTGCCTGTGCATGAATGAATGAATGAATAAGTGAATGAATAAATACATGTATGAAAGATGAATAAATAAATAAATAAATGTATACATATAAATGAATAAATGTATAAAAGTCAAGTTCAACATTGTTTAATCAACTTTCATAAGAAACAGCTCTTTTTCAAACACGTAATGAAGACGCGTAGTGCCTTTAAGTGAGTCTGAGCAACTATCTGAAAAAATGTTTGATGCATGCGCTTCATTGGCGCGTGAGAGTTTGCAGGCGCTATTTATTTGTTAGCTCACGGATAAATAAATTGATGAACAATCATGACACGAAACCAAAGAACACGAAGATGACTAACCGACGCATGATGTCTCGTCCGTGACAATGATGCAGTAGTTGAGAATGAACGTGTGAACGTAAGCGCACTGTATGCAGTTTTCCTGATCGTACCACCATTTGATTTCTACATCCTCACCCTTCTCTCCTACTCTCAACTTTTCAATCATGAGGTGGGTGGGGCTTGCAATTGCTGGAAAGTAAGTTATATTGGGGGAAAGACTTTTTTTTATGTTGTGCTCGCCTTTCAAACATTTGCAACTAACAAATAAACATTTACATATTTGAATGGAAGGTATTGTAATCGAAAATTAATCAAAGTAAGCAATTAAAACTTGCGCACTAACTAGCACTAAAGCTGTACAGTTTTTGGAACCAAAATGTTTTCTGACTTTCCTTGTTTTTAAAGAGGGAGACCCCGTACTTGAAGTTGGCATCATATTCAGCGTACGTTTGTATGCTTATTTGCCTCGGTAGGTTCTGTGCTTTTGCTGCTTTATAGCCACTGTACCTAGGTGATATTATTCGGACTTCAATGTCTTCTTTCGGAAAACTCTGCCACGTCATCTCCTTCTGAAGAACATTTCAATGAAAAAAATCAAGCTCCATTATTTCTTTCATAACATTTTTATATAAATCTATAGAACATTAAACTAATGTTCATGGAGATGAATGTAATATGATGATGGTGTGTCATCATTATCATCATCATCGTTTCCATCGTTATCACCACCAACACCATCATCTTGGCACATGCAAAAACAATGAATCAAAAGAAAACATAAGGCTACCATCATAATCATGAGCATCATCATGAGCATCATCATGAGCATCATCATGAGCATCATCATCATCATCATCATCATCATCATCATCATCATGAACATCACCATTACGACCAACCTGACAAACATCATCCCGCAGACTTGGACACTTGTAGAGAACCAATTCGTAATTTTGCGACAATGCTGAAGGTAATGATGACGGTGAAGATGATGACACAATGTCTTTAAAATGATAATTATCATCGTCTATCAGAAAACTTATCCCAATGTAAGTGTCGTTAACTTTTTCCACAACCAAGGAGAGCTTGGAATCAATGTTTTGGAAAGCCAGAGCGGTAGTTACTAGAGGAAGTTGAAGAATATTTGCATCACGTAATCTGTAGCCTGCGTCATTTCTTGATGCAACAATCATAACAACTCGCTGGTTAGTGCCGTTCAAATCCATCAAGAAATTGAACGAAATTTGATGGTGAGCATCGTTCGAACTGACTTCAACCTGCTTGCTCCAGACGTCATCCGGAAGTATTCTGGCATCTTGCATGGTGTAATTATTATTGTTGAGGTTGACTTTGGTAGAGAATGCCAGCACATAATGCAACGGCTCACCACAGTAATACTTTTCCGGAATTCTCTATGATACAAAAAGTTAAAGACCACTTAAAATAAGGTTAGACGACATTAAAAAAGTGCTTTGAATATAACAGTATATTTCAAATTTGCTGAGCACAATACACAAGGATAACTGCATTAACAAAATTAATATTAGACATAAACAACTAATGTTTTAAAAACTACCACACAAAATCTGTCATTCATCAGGATTGTTCAAGCCATTCATCAGTATTAGTAAAATTATTCCATCGTCATCTTCATCACCGTCATCATTTTATTCTATTTGTTACACATTAGCCCATATTACTCAAGAATGCATAAAAACTATTGTTAACACGTTTCACAGTGTTAAAAACGCAATAACATGTTATGAGTAGATTAACAATAAATATGTTGGCTAAAAACCATTCTAGTTTACCTGTAAAGAACAAAAACAACAACAACACTAACAATAACATCAACAACAACAATGCATCAGTAAAAACAAAAACAACAACATCAGCAACAAACTAACATTGCCATGTTAACACAAACAACAAAAACAGCACAACAAAATAAACAACAACAACGACAATCACCTTCCAATATATATCAAATCCAGTATTTTTTTTATTTTTCGTGACGGAAAACGAAGTAACTATGGGTGACATGCAAGGAACTGAAAAAAATTAATTTATGGAAAATACGTTTCAAATAACAATAATAATAAAATAAAATAAAAACTTATATCAATAATATACTAAAAATAACAATTTAATTATCTTAGTCCAGCAGTAAACATCAAGACAGTTGTGTAAAATGTTAGAATGCAAACTTACAAGCGTTTAGAGTCTGAAAAGTGAACATTTTGGAAAAACTCATGTGACCTGTTAAAAATATTTAAATAAAAAAATAAACATAATTTACTTTTAGCTTTATTTCCAAATTTTCAAGTGCAGGCAACATATAATAAAAAATCCTTCACACAATATTAAATAACAAAATTGTGTCCACTACATTCAACCAACCAACCAAACAACCAACCAACCAACCAACAAACAAACCATCCATCCATCCATCCATCCATCCATCCATCCATCCATCCATCCATCCATCCATCCATCCAGCCAGCCAGCCAGCCAGCCAGCCAACCAACCATTAGGTAAACATACTCGTTTATTTTGACATAGAATTTTGATAAAAAATAAGGGAAACCACATATTAAAAACAAACAAACGTAAGAAAAGAAAATTAAATGACGGAAGAGAGAGAGAGAGAGAGAGAGAGAGAGAGAGAGAGAGAGAGAGAGAACAGAAATAAAAAGTAAAAGAACAGAGAAAGAGATGGAAAGATCAGAGGGAGAGGGATAAAAAAGAAAAAGAGAGTGAGCGAAAGTGATGAATAGAAAATTACAAAAAAAGTAGAGAGAGAGAGAGAGAGAGAGAGAGAGAGAAAGAGAGAAAGAAAGAGTCAGAGAGGGAGGTGAGGAGAAATTGTATATTTGCAAGCGGTGGTTTTGCATTACAAGTAAAACAATCAATAATGAATAATTTTTTTTAAAGAAGATAAATGCAATGGCAAACATTCTCGGCAGCATTATCACTATTTACATAGATACTACCTATGAAGATACTACATAGCTACCCCTTATAAAGATACAATTTTTTTTTTATTTGTCTTTATTATTGCAGCTCTGACATACGCAGAACCACTTACAATGTTACAGATCTATATTATCTATATATCTTTTATTATGTTCTAAATATCTTCATCCATTTGAAGCAGCCATCTTCGCCACAAAGGCTGTTTATCCTTTTCACACGACGTACACATGTATTTTATGTGCACGCGCAAGCACCGCATCATATACGCTGAGTATATGATAGCCATTGAGATATTTGACACAGCGAGCATTTGACATTTGAACCACCGGGCCATCTCGCCGGCCAACATGCGACGACTTACATCGTCTACCCATTTACCAACCTCGAAAGGATGGACGGCTGGGTTGACCGGGGGTCGGCTACCCGGATGAACCTGCAAAAACTGCAGAGTTCGAACCCGGGTCGTGGGAGTGGTAGACGGACACGCTAACCACTCGGCCACAAGACCCCATATAAATACATAGATACTCTGTATATAGAAACTATATAGGATAGTCCCTATAAAGATACTGCAAAGATACTCTATATAGTATCTACTATATAGATACAACTTATAAAGATACTACCTAAGAAGATGTATTCTCAAGCTTTGAGATAATTGCGAGTAGAAAATAATTAAACGGTAGTTAATCGTCACTTGAAATAAGCATGATCATTCTTCCTAGAGGTAATGTAATTAATATTATGCTAAAACAACATTTACTGCAACAATAATAGCAATAACAATATTAATGATTATTATTATTATAATTATAATAATAGATAAACACAAGGATGGCAACAAGGATGACAAATAAAATAATAATTAAAACTATAACTTTTCCAAAAATTTTTAGAACAGAAAAAAAGCAACAACGAATGAGCTGAATTTGTTTATACAGAGTAGCATTTCTTCAGAAAAAAATCTGACTGAAAAATATTCAGAAATAAATGTTAAAAGAGTAGGCATCTACAAAATGTGTACCAGCCATCATCGATCAATCAACCACACAAACAATCAACTCACACACTCACACACCACATTCCATCACTTCACTATATATCACATTGAATCAGGTTACACCATCACATTATACATAACATGATATAATATCCTCTCCGTATCTTCACATAACATAACATAAGATTCCTCATTAGAGGTGCTATACAAATCATAAAGTGCAAATACAGAAATACTAAACACAAAATACAAATCATAATATACAAATACAGAAATACTAAACACAATAAAAAATAATAAATAAAAACAAAACGCACCCTTGTGTTTTGGTTTACAGGAAATTTGGCCAGTGTAATTTCTGTGTGGTTCCAATTGGATGGTCATATCGGTACGCTCAATAATCGTGTAGTTCAACACTTCCTGATAATGATGATGATGAGGAGGATGTTGGTGATGATGATGATGTGAAGATTTTGGCGATGGTGATGATGATGATGTGAAGATGTTGATGATGATGACGACGACGAAGATGATAATAATAATAAGTAAATTTTAAATAATGATAAGAATGATAACGAAATCACAACAAAGGCAGCAACGAGAATATCTTTCTTTAATAATAATTACAAAGACGACAAAATAATTCACTTCACATTATGAAAGTGACGATTGATCCACTATTACATTGTATAAATGGAAGATTGCGGTGGTCGAAATAATAACGTGGCCCAGCTGAGGTCGGTGTATTGTTTTGTAATGCGACTTAGAAACAAAGGTTGAAAGGTTAAAAAGGTTAACAACACATCACACGCACAACAACACCTTTTAGAATAATCGTATGACACAAAATAAGAAAGAAAATAAAGCATAAACATTCCTTTCAGAGGTTTAACTCATGTGATTCAGTATTTATTTACTAATTCAATTTTTTTGTAATATCTGTATTTCGCAAATTAATTATACACACACTCTCATGCACGCACGCACGCACACACACATAAATACAAACACACAAACGACAAACAACACACACGCGCGCGCAATCAACATATAGAAACTACACGAAACGCAAATACAAATATACAGACATGTAAAAGAATAATTTCCACATGAATAAAATTTATGACTTGACAGCCATAAGAAAAAAAAGAAGAAGAAAAAGTTAACAAAAGAATGAGAACATGGTAAAAGCTTCCGCACTGACTGACATTTTGCGTGTGAATTAGTCAGTTGCGTCTGATGTTGGTGGTGATGATGATGTTGTTAACGTTTCATTTTGTTTGTTTTGAGAAAATGAAACAGAATGGAAACAAACGATAAGCTGGATAAGACGAGAGATCAAAATATAAAAAAACTACATAGTAAAAAGTAAAAAAAAAAGATGACGATGACAAAATCATAAAAGCGGTAAATAAATCACTGTACCATCAGATTAACCGATCATTTGAACTAGAGTTATGTCACAACTACTTGAGCATAGTTAAGCAAGAAGACTACTACAATAATCGTTGCAGCTTTCATTTTCATCCTCACCATGATCCCAACATCAGCATCGTCGTCGTCATCGCCCTCACACCCTCGAACTCCTGCGCCCACGTGGCTATTCTTTCAGTAGGTCATTTATTTCTGCACATAAAGAGAATGTTCGCAACATGCCCAACACGCGATAACATGCAACAGCCAGCACGAGTGATGAAATGCAGCTGAAACTTCAAACAAACGAGGGGATCATAAACAAAGCAGTCAGTATGTTATGTATGCCACTACCTTTATATATATAATATATAGATTTTACAACTTTACGCTCGCCATAGATGCATTGGAATTTGAATTTATATAGCGCTAATTTTAAATGCTTCTCAGAATGCCAAGAAAATTTTTTTGGATTACTGGAAAAAATAAAAAGCTGATTAAAACGCGTACCCAGAATCTTCTAACTTCCGCCAATATTTATACATTTAATAGCATCTAAAATCCTAAACCACATGATTCTGAAAAATTTAGTTATCCACATTTTGTTTCTTTTAGTTTATTACCTGCTAAAAATGTTCAGAATGATTTCGATAGTGATCAATTTACCAGAGATCCTACCGTTTATCAGTACCGCTTAATGTTTTATTCATTTGACGATTCTTCGACCACGACACCATACATACAATGACCATTCAGTGCAGAGAAAACATCTCTTCGGAGGACCATGGAAAAGGAAGCACTTTGTTGAGAGTTTTTTGAAGATTTCTTCATTGATCTGCGCTCAGACTCTATCCAAAGTCATCATTACCAAATTCAATTACACCTTGCTAATCAGCCTACTTAGGCAGCATCTGAATGATGAGTTTTTAATGTGATTGGAGAATGGCTCCAAAAGGATATAACAATATATAAATAATTCTCCTTACCTATACTACAAGTTTGTTATATAAAACTGTACATATTAAATATGGCTCTCTCTCTCTCTCTTGTTCTCTTTCTGTGGGAATGTGTGTGTGTGTGTGAGTGAGTGAGTGAGTGAGTGTGTTGCAACATTTCATAACAAAATCATTGAATATTTCAAACAAAAGTACAAATATAAAAAAAGTGCATGTATTTTGGTAGTTTGAATAATATTTGTGTGTGTGTGCGTGCGTGTGTATGTGCAAGAGTGTGTGGTGTAAGTATGTATCTAATTCGACAATTTTGAATTCTATAGTCAGGAGATAATTAGCTTTATCTATAACAGCCTGGGTGATAATATGATGGCCATTGATAACAGATTCTAAAAAATTGAAGAAAAATAATAAAATATAACTATCACTCTTATCTTTCAATAAAAATTTCACTGATAATGGAGTATAATATATAATTGCCATATAACTATATACTGTATAACTGATAGTATCAGCTAAATGTTATTCCATATTTAATAATTATTCAGAACCACAAACAACTTAGTAACGATAATAATAACAATAATACTAACAACAATAATAATATATGCCACTATTATTTTCCCATCGTTTGCATTCGCAGATTAAAATTTTAAAAACCGACTTCCACAAATTATATTTTATGTGATTCGAGGAGCGAGTCCGGTAGGTATATAGGTACCTATAAATGGAATGAAACGTAATCACATGCAATAACATGACCAATCATAGACATTCAAGAAGCAGATGTTTTGATATACAAACAAACACACACACACACACTCAGTAGATATGGATGGATATAAATAAACCACAAATAAGTTTGTGAATGAATACATAATGTTTGTGTGCACTAGATTGCATGCAAGTTTGTGTGTGTACGAATTTTTGCATACATGTGTATGTCTGATGTATGCGTATATGTTAGTGTGAGTAGGTCTGTCAACCCGTATGAGTATATTTATACGTGAATTCATTTTTCGAAGTATTGGTTTGTATGTAAGTTTCGATTTATAATGCAGGTTAAATAATTCACCATTAGAAAGCTGCATGCATTTATTTCATTTCACAAACAAGGGTTAACTGAGGCCTGTGTGCGTGACATATTAAGCAAACCCTGTGAAACATCCCGCATCACATGCACATACGCAGTAGAGCCCTGCGCGGTTGGAATTTTCAAAAACCGCAACCGCACAAAACCGCAACATTTGAAACCGCAACATTTGAAACCGCAACCGCACAAAACCGCAACATTTGAAACCGCAACCGCACAAAACCGCAACATTTGAAACCGCAACCGCACAAAACCGCAACATTTGAAACCGCAACCGCACAAAACCGCAGCGTCGAAAACCGCTACCGCACCGCACCGCCGAAAACCGCAACCGCACCGCAAGAAAAAACATTATTAATGCTTTTATTGACATTATAAATCACAACTATCTACATCCAAATCACTGTTACTCTTAATAAATAACGTTTGTCAATTTTGTATGGATTTAAACTGGACCGTCTCTTTTGCAGTGTATAATTGAGAGATGATCCTACCCTTTCTTTATCAATTACATCTACCCGTGGATCAACTTCAACATTTTTTACCTCGGAAATTTTTATGAAATAATCGATAATTAACCACGCCGTAAATAAAATAACTACTTCTTTCAAAGTAAACAGGAAAAAGAAAATGGTTGCTTCAACGGCTTCCAAAGATATTAAGATTTTAATATATAAAATTATTACAATGATAATGCAATTTTTAAAATGTTATGGACGAACAAAAATATTTAACAAGATTTTTGCGGTCACCGCGGTTTTGATGAAAAAAACCACGCCACGGAAAAACTGCATATTTCAAAACCGCAACCGCGTAAAACCGCAACCGCGTAAAACCGCATGATTTTGCACCGCAACCGCAAAAAACCGCGATTGCGGTGCAGTTTTTGCGGTTTAAATCGCGACAACCGCAAACCGCGCAGGGCTCTAATACGCAGCATACAAACAAATACATTTAATAAAGTCCAATTTGTATCTTAATTATAAACATGTACCATTTTTGAAACGCGCATATAAATATACATAAATAAACACACAAATATATACACATACAAATTCGTACATATAAATAGGCACATACATACACACACACATACGTACACATTCACAAACATCATTAAACCATTATCAAAGTAAAATAAATTACCTTTGAATGAACGTCGGATAAATTTTAAACATAATTCTTTTTAGTTTCAAATTACAAAATAAAAAAACTGAAGTGTCCTCCCAAGATATAAAAACATAATAACAAGCATTAATAATAAAGAGTTTGAAATAATTTCTATGAGATAAGAAGCAACGGGGAAAAAAGAATTTGATCATTAACACGTGCCAGTAATATGAGATTATTACATGTTCTTGTGAACTGCCAGCTGAAGACTTTCACTGAATTGAGTAGTGGCTGCATATAAATTTATCAACAACATTCTCTCTCACTCACCTCTCTCTCATCACTCTCTCTTCTCTCTATCTCTCCTCTTTCTCTCTCTCTCTCTCTCTCTCTCCTCTCTCTCTCTCTTTTTCTCTCTCTGTTAGTTGATATTATCATATATTTTTAGAGTTATCAAATAATATTCAGAAAGAAGCTTAAATAAATGTTTGACACGCACAACAAACCAACGTCCTTCATAAACATAAAAGCAGCAGGGCACATTAGACCTTACCAATCCTTTATTAAATCACAGGTACAATGATGGAAACAGCCACAACCTACTTCATAAACTTACAGAGAGTATGAACAATATTTAGAAATACGTTACATCAAAATGTAATATATCTATGCGTAGGCACACACAAAACTGCACGAGCCAAAGCAAAATTTTTAAGCACACAGACACTAACACAAACTGAACACAAATTGAACACAAACTGAACACAAACTGCACACAAAACGGATTCTTAAAAAGTTCATGCAGAGCAACATAACGCTGAATATAATAATAATTGGAAGACACAATATGGTTAGGCAGGCATGCACTGAGTAGCACGTCTCTAAAATATCAATTATGAACAGGCTGAACTGCCTTGTTTAAATATCTATGTATGAACATGAATATAACAATGTAAATATTTTGGGTGATGCATGAAACTATGAGGTCTTTGTATGTTGTAATATTTTCGAAACCTTAATCATTAATCAAAAATCACACTCATTCAATTGTGTGAGGCTAATAATTATCATCACCTCACAATAACAACATCATAATTTAACTCACTACCACACATCACAAGTACAACTAAATTATCTTACTCACCATTATTATTACAACAACAACCTATTCCTCATCATCATTCCACATCATCGTCATCACTATCACCAAATCATCAGCTTCATCATCATCCTCATCACCTTTCAAGTTATCTTCTCAACCAGAGATATAACAAAAGAACACAAAAAATTATTCAAATATCTCAATGCATTAAAAAATGAATGGTGCATAACGATAACACAACTACTGCACTTTGTTCTTTATACAGTGTGCGTGGAAACATTATGATTATGCAAATAAATGTTAGCAAATGTTTGAAGCACACTTTAAACTTAGACATAAACGAGATAGCAATTTCGTATTGGATATTTTTTTCATTGCTATATACATGTATAATAATTTAAGATATTAAACTAACTAGAATGCATATTTATTATACCAATTTGCGACTAAATAATAATAAACTGTTCTTCTTTTTTTGCAATTTCAAAAACTTCAGCCACCACCTACCTCGTCAAAGTTATTGCGCAGAGTGATGAAATAAGCGAAGGGCACATTCGAATGGCTGGCCGAGTAGGGTCTCGACCAGTGAAACGCCGTTGGAGATGGCATTGGAAAGTTGGAGGTTGGTTCCGCTTTTATCCACTCTATCTCCTCGCAGACAACTGGAAAATATAATTTAATTATAATAATATAATTATAAAATAAAATGATAGAAATATTATTAATAATAATAATGATAATTAATAAAATGAATAAGACATGTCCCTGTTTATTCTTCATTTTTCTAGGATTAAAAGCTTGAAAATAACAAACTAAACTATAGCAATACATAGAATGCAAGCAGCCAATCAAAGTTATGACCAGCGCATACACGAATTGTTGAAAACAAACTTCGCACACACATACAACAAAACAACAACACACGTTTAGACGACATTTCCCCCAAGATCGGGGGTTGCCGTTTGGCTACCTGTGATGAAACCGAAATACCCCTCGACGCCATTCACATCTGTCACTCGCCTCAGTATCACGAAACTTTCACTCTTTCCTTTCACTCTGTCTTTAACGCTTTCACTCTGTCCTTCTCCACCTGCTCTCTCCATTCCAATCGCTTCGCACACACATACGACTAGATAAGAGCCTAATAAAAACCCTAACTCCCTTACAAACAAAATGATATTTTTGAAGATTGAAAACACATAAAATCAAGGATAACGGCAAATCAACATGTAACAGGCTGACAAAAAACAACAACCACACAAACAACTAATACATCACAATATATTTAGCATAAGTACAAAAAACAGCAGCAAACAACAACAACAAACAACAACAGCAAACCACACAAACATGGCAACACATTTAACGTCACTACAAATTGATTAGAAATCGTGCCACAGAGAGGCGATAACACCCAGAAATTATTGATCTTATGGTACATACATACGTGTGAATGCTGATAATTTTGCAAAGGTAGAAGCCACTCAATACTGCAACATTGCTGAATTACTAAGAAATTGCATCACACAAGACTACATTTAACGTTAATTAAGTTTTTATGATAGATACAAATTCTCCCTGGTTTATGAATAAAAATTTTTAATATGAAAGTTGAGAAAATGTGAAGAATTGCAAATGTTCTGTTACATTTTAAATAATAATTCCATAGCAAAGAAATAAAATAACAACGTCAGTCTAATATGAGCAGTTGGAGAAAATCTACATTAAACTTTCATGGTTATAACATAGAAACCAATACTTATTTATTACCTAACATGCAAACATGTCTTCACGTCTGAACAACTGAAGAACATTAAAGCACAAAAATAAAGACAGATTAAAATGTCATTGGCATTTTAATAAAACAAAAAACACACCAATGATGAATACAGAAATAGAACTAACTTAGGTCAGACAACATGAAGCAGACATCGTCAGATTTCTTATGATGATCAGAATGGAATATAGACACGTTTGCTGATACATTAATTGAGCTGCAAAATTCTTCATCTTGAAATTGCACAAGCGGTTCCTCGGCATGAGCATAGCGTAAATCAAAATTTATATTTTTAATTTCTCTGGCATAATCGACATAGTCGTATTTCTTATTCTTTCCGTTCATTTCATGATATCTCTCGACAAACGTCCTTTCATGGAACTCCTCCTGGCAGTTCTCATCATACTTGTTCAAATTCAGTCTTGTGTAGTTGTCGGCCACGCTGCCATTAACGATTCTAAAGGCGCACGAACGATAAACATTCGAACACATCTTCTCTACCAGCGCGTCTCTGCAATGTTAAGTCAACATAACTTAACACAAAATAAGATAACATAACATAGGAGAAAAAACTAAAATATAATTAACCTACAAGTACAATAAATAAAAATAATAAATAAAATATGTACATGCAATGACAACCAGGCATAGAATAACGTCAGTAACATCCCTAAGTAGCATACCTATAATAATAGCTATTACTACGGATAATCATAATAAACTGCCTACAAATAATGAGAAATAACATACTACAAATAATATTATATCAAAATAAAAATGAAACTGTTATTATGGTCCTAGGAACAAATATTTTATTCACTCACCTAAAAATTAAATTAAAAGCTTCTCATGTATTTCTGTGACTGAGCTAACTCATAAAACTTCAATATACTATATTCTTCTCGATAAATCTTAAAACCTAACTTATATCTAACACAAATCGAATTAATACTTCTTCATCGATTTATTATACACAAATAACATACACCTAGAAACAATTGTACATTAAAACGTACTGTATACAATAATAAGAACACATGTGATTATGTTAACACATTTAAAAAACAAATTTCTCAATCATAGTGCTTGGTGTTAATGTTTGATAATTCAAAAATAGTTAAGACATTAATAAGATAGTCAGATGGTACAAGCGATATATTCACATTATTCAGCATATATACAACACGTTTATACACTAGATACATTCTCACAAATGAATATACATGTGTATAAGCGTACACATATGCGTAGATACATATACACATACAAAAACAGAGATACATACAAAAAATATACATTCAAAGTTTAAACTATGGTGACAATTTCGAAACAAAAATCCGATACAAATCCGAAATCCGACCTAATTTTGGCCGGGACCGGATTCTCGGTACAGCCTTTATATATACTATACAATATATAAAAAAATATATAAAAAACACTTGGACATCATATACAAAGACATATGTACAATACATTTGTATGAGTGAACTGAGACAAACCTTGTTCTGTTGAGCAAAAAATCCAAGTGGAAACGTTTAAAATAGTCGCGTGTTCTACTTTCGAGATACATATTAGCATCAAGGAAGCGAGGCCAGTAGCAGCAGACGTATTGCAACTTGTTAAGTCTGCAGACAGGAGATGGAGGTTTGCCAGGGACATCTAGTGGAAAGTTAGGGTTAGCAAGAAACATGAAAAAAACGACTGGATTATCTTGAAATATATGACTATGTGATTAAACATTTAAACTAAAGATTAATAACAGAAAGTGTCAATCGGTGAGACCTAACAAAATGTCCAAAGATTAGTTTCTAAATACTATTTGAAAATTTATAAGGCTGAAGTTAAGAAGTTAACAAAAAAAAACTTCACGATAAAAAAACAAATGTCAAAACAAGATCAAGTCCATTTGAATATGAACCAATTTTAAAAAATGAAATTGTAAAAGTAAATTGAAATAGTAGGCTAGAGAAAAGAAATAAGCAAAGACGACAGAAAATAACTGCAAACAAATTTTTGCAATGTTTTTGAATAGAAAATAAACTGGCATTTGTTTGTAGAAGGGTTACTAAATATGTTGTCAAAATGTGGAAACTAATTAAAGTTTCATCCAAGTATTACAACGTTTAAGTTAAACATAGTGAGAGAGAAGGACTCCAAAAGAGCAACAGTATAAAAACCAAATAAATCAATTTTATTTTTCACTATTATTAATTAATTTATAGATAATAATTATATTTATTTATAAAGATTCTTAGACCTTACCTGATCACATGAGAATCAAAGTTATAGAAATGAAAATTAACAATGCATTAACATACTGACAGCGATTACAAAAATTTTTATTCAAAGTAATTAGAGGTCGTTAAACAATTAATTAGTCAGTAAATAACTTATTAATACATCATCCAGGATAGGAAAGTAACTCTGCAAATGTGTGTGAGCCGGCGATGAAATGAATGTCCAACAGTTTCACGCAATGATTTTCAAATATTTATATAATACATTTCATAGTGACAAATACACAATAGTTAATTTAGTTTTAATGAGCTGATATTTTTATAACGAAGATAATTAATAGCCTACAAGCAAGTAACCAACGAACCATGCACCCAGAACTGCGCTAGCCTTCCGAGCAGTTGACGATGAGATGTATCTGGCATATTGCAATAGATGTATGCATTTTCCGTTTGGAAACTAAATATTCTTCCAGGAATGACCACTTCAGCTGTTTCGTTAGACAGGACAGTTACATCCGGATGGGAGAATGTATAGCTTTGTCGTCTGTCACTTAAACCCACTTGAAAAAAAATTAGTCATGCAAACATTATTGAATATGCTCGATCAATCTATCAATCATCAGTCTGTCAGTCAGTCAGTCAGTCAACCAGCCAGCCAGTCGGTCGGTCGGTCGGTCGGTCGGTCAGTCAGTCAGTCAGTCAGTCAGTCAATCAATCAATCAATCAATCAATCAATCAATCAATCAATCAATCAGTCAATCAATCAATCAATCAATCAATCAATCAAATATATTTATATATAGTGTACAATACTACAGTTCAACAACGATCCAGCCAAATTAGAAAAATAAAGTTTTTCCAACTTGCTAAAAAATAATAAGAAGATTATAACCAATGAAAGTGTAAATGATGCAAGAAAATGAATAAAAATATAAATTAAAATAAAATAAATACATATGCTCTAGTAACTTGAATTTTAAAAAAATCTTTCTTTAAGAAAAAGCTATAATTGGCAATAAATAAAAAATCATTTATACGGAAAATTGAGTCTAATATAACAAAATTTAAATGCCATTAAAAAAAATCATATATACTGTAGGTTGAATGCAATATAACAGAATTTAAAGATAAGTCCTAATAGAAAAAATGGCTAACCTATGAAGCTCATGTTCTGAATGCTAAAATTACCTTTGTACCATTTTGTCAAGGTGCAGTTGAATTTCTGCGATTGATTCACAACTATGTTACCAAAACGAGGCTGTATAACTGAAAAAATGATAACACTTTTTCAGTAATTATAAAAATTATTAAAAAAAAATTTCAATCACACATCACTAATAAACGTGAGAATTTAAAAAAGTTTAAACCGAGCATTCACCATTGATACTTAGAAAATAATAAAAATGATTTTTAAAAAGATAGTGACTAGAAGTAGTTGTTATTAGAATTTGGACATGATTTGGGCATTCTCTCTGTAGAGAGTGACTCATATTAATTAAGTGCAATATGTGTTTGTGTTTGTTTGTGTGTGTGTATGTGTGTCAGTGATGACGTAAGTACTCAAAAAATGTACTTAAGTATAAGTACTAAGTACTCAGTAATAAAAGTACTTAAGTATAAGTACTAAGTACCGAAACAGATTGTATACTTGATACTTATAAGTACTAAGTATAAGTACTAAGTACATAAGTACCTAAGTACATACCATGGTTAATTTGAAATATTTATAAATTTATTAAACTCAGAAATCAACTCATTATTTACAGTAATTTATTTACATCAATAAAAGAGTTTGTTCTTTTTGAGTAAAAGTAAAGTTTCAAATGATTCATCACTTAAACGATTTCTTCCAGCCTGGCTAAATATACGTTCCACACTTTAACACATATATTTATAAGGATTGTTATATATATATATATATATATATATATAATAACTACTATATATAGCGTGCATGTGTATATAGATCATGTAGAGTCTATGATATAGATATATAGATGTCAGAGTGATGTGAGTTAACCACCTTTTAATGACTCAATTAGCCAATGGTTATCTTAACATCCCGCTATCCATGACTAAACAAGAACAAATGTTGATAAGAGAGATAAACAAGAATGTCAATGTGAAAATGTGTGTGTGTGTTTTCATCACAGTTTTCAATTTTTAAATGTTGACATTATCTTATTTTTGCTTAAAATTTTTCTGGTACTTACAGGAAAAATTTATTACTTATAAGTACAAGTACTGGAAAATGTACTTAAGTATAAGTATTTAAGTACAGATTTTCATATGTACTTAAGTATAAGTATTTAAGTACAGATTTTCATATGTACTTAAGTATAAGTACCTAAGTACTACATTTGTACTTAAGTACGTACTTAAGTACGTATGTACTTAAGTACTCGTCATCACTGATGTGTGTCAACTGTAAAGTAGTGCAGCAAAACATAACAATTGAAAACCGTCTTTAGATTTCGTATTTGTATAATGAGACAAAGAACATGAAGTATGAAATTAGAAATTTGCAGTGAGCACCTGCTACTCTATAAGGATTCTCGTCAGCCAATTTCTAGGAAACAGTGCATCATATGATGTTATATATTATTTATTCCCTGGTTAATAATGCCAGAATATGATGATGATCAGGAAAAAGTGAAAAGATCAGAGAACAAAATCATCTTTATTTGGCTAGCAGGGCTACCACACAGCATTAATTATTATTAGTTGTTATCAATGCCTCATTTTATTTACAAAACTAACATGGCTAACTAATTGACCTTATTTATCATCTTTATCATAATCACCTTCATCATAATTATCATCTTTGTGGTCCTTATTACTATAATCACCATGAACCTCATCACTATTACTATCCTATTCTATCATTTTCCTAATTGTTACTATGAGGGTTATCATTATCATTCTTCACATCATTAAAATTATCATCACCATCATTTTACTTTTTATTCATTCCTTCTTCTTCCTCATTATTACCATCGTCATTCCATTACAATCACCATCATCATCTTATCATAAATAATTTATCATCTTAATCATTATAAACATCATGAACAACCATCATCATCATATCAGGTAAGTTGTTTAGTCTACAAGCAAATGAAATTTCATATATTAACCAAATCGGTGACATAATAATAATAATAATTTCTATGCAGATAAATTTGGGATATTTCATACATTGTATTGTATTTTTGAATATAAATACAAATGAAATTGTATATAAAAATACAATGTATACATACATACATTACTTATTTATTTATGTATAGGAGATAATGATAAATGATGAAACAAGGAAACAACAATAATAGGAAATAATGAAGCAAAATAAAAAATAAATACAGATTCTTACTTACTAGCATAATTTTTACTTTCCAATTCATTTTTACTGGCATTAACACACCACCATAAAAAAATTATCACGGATGGAACAAAATTCTTCATTTTGACTCTCAAACATCAAGCAAAAATCTGGATGACGTAGGTAAGAGTTATGTCATGTTATTTTAGGTTATGTTATTAGTAGTTGATAATTTAAACTTTAAAGTGCCCAAAATTATCATCAATATTGGGACTATTTTTTTCAAAAATGTATTATAACCATAATTTGTATTCAAAAATTATAGTAGTACATTTTTGAGAATTATTATTTGAAATTCAAAATACATTTGAGAAGGAACATTTAAAAAATAAAATCAATATTGAACATTGAAAAAGTCAGAAAAGCATTACGTGATTCACATGCAAAAATAATAAAGGCATGCTGGTCAACTGAAAATGGGATTAATTTTTTATAGCCTTATCAAACAATCAGAAATATACATATATATATATATATATATATATATATATATATAATATATTATATAAATAAGGTTTACGTTTACATAAACATTATTTATTTAAGATTATATATGTGTGTGTGAGTATTATAACCTTTATTTATATCTGTATAAGGCTATCTATAAGCATTTATTTTATGTATAATACACTGCTAATGTATAAATTCATTTACAACAAAGTGATATATGCAACTTATAAAACTAACATATCACGCTAGCTAGATGTATGCTATTAAAATTAAATAAATAAAAAGAAAGTATGCCAGCAAAACTGCATTTTTTTATCTTATCTTATCGACTTATATTATAAGTCTTATATTTTGTGTTTGTCTTACTTATATAGTAGAACACGTGAAAAAATACGAACAAACTCACCTTTTTACTTTTATTCATTTAGTTAACAAAAAACATTAACATCATTTAGTTTTTTTAGAGGATGTTAAAAAAAGAAGATGGTTCTTATTCGCAACAAAACTCCAACTAAATCACAAAACTCATGACAACACTAACTATAGAAATGCTCGGAAGATGCTATGAAATGAACTTGACACACAAGTCATATATACATTATTTCATACATACCTCAATACAGGCGCACATTATATACATACACACATATACATATAAACATACACACATATACATATAAACATACACACACACATATACATGCACACATACATACAGACAATATATTCATACAATACATACATATTTTTCTGCACGTAACATACACATATGTACGCATATATATATACACACATACAGGTGTCTTAATGATAACTTGTAAACAATCTTCAGCGTAGCTACTCATCTTATAGAGCACAATAATAAAATAAAAATAAAATACGTAAAACTATATAATTAGAATAAAACATCCCTTCTTACCAACAGCAATTTTGAAAATAGCGATTTCATCGCAAGTTTTATCATGTTTAAGCAAGAATATATATTTATACCTCAATGGTTTTATCACACAGCGCTCAAAAGATAAATGACGAGAGGGTTTATTCTACAATAGGATTTCCGTGGAATCAACCAATGGTTTTAAGATCAAGCTTGGAAAACTAGGATATTAGGACAATTAATTGGCAGTGGTTCTCACACAGACATTAGTCTTCTGAACCACTATAAACCCTGTTATGTTGTAAAAACATGATAGTTAAATAACAATTTTTCTTCTTCTTTACAGTTTATAGCCATGTTAGACCCGTTGGGTGGGTGGCTTTGTGTAAAAAGCCTCCACCCATTGATGTCGGTGATCGGTTCGCCGTGACATCTCATCAAGTAAGAACTTTGTCCGGTTGTTGATGTTATCCATCCGTCATTTTTTCCTGGCATTGTTCTTTGTATTACAAAAAAGGTTCCATCTTCTTTTCTGTGCTGTTGAAACGGCGACTGCGGCATCAACGCGCTATCGACATTTACGCAATATTTCAGTTTATTATATATGGTATATAAATATAACATCAAAATAATGGCTGGCTTTCATGAGAAACTCAAGGGATTGGTGTCGTTTAATGGTGTTGTATGTAAAGGTGCCATGCTTACTTTAAATTCAAGTGTAACTGTAAGATTATTAACAATCAAACCAGATTTCAGCATTCTACATATACAACACATGGGTATATATATCCATGATACAATATGATACTTTGAAGTTTTCCCACAACTTTATTTTATTAAAAAATAAAAAAAACGTAACAGTTCTATTCATGGATATATATATATATCCATAGTTCTATTCCAGCGACTTTTTAATAAGCTACTGAAGACTTAAATTAACTTTTAGAATTTAAATAAACAGAACACGAAGTTGAAGGCCCAGCAGTGGTCGTTGAAAGACAATTATACATACATACGTATAAAATAAAAAGATAATAAATAAACTAGATTTCACGGAAGAAAAGTCATGACTGAACTATTGGGAGACATTTCTACGAAGTTGCATGGTCTAACTCTACCGATTGGTCTTGAAGCGTATCCCTTTAAGGTACGACTACCTAAACAAACTTAAGTCTTAAAAAAGGCTTAAAAAAAGGGTGTAAGCCTGATTGGCAGATTAACAAAAATGTTATCATCTGCCAATCCCATCCATCCAGTCCAATGTCTTTCTAACTTATTGTATTTCATTGTGCGTGCATCATTATTTATTGATTTATTTTTATGTTATGAGCATTCATCATATTATAAAATTCCTCGTTGAATTATCATTTATTTAATTAGTAAGTATTTTTATTGGGCATTGCAGCTGCTGACTTCACCACTCTATTTTTAATTATTAATGGCTTTAATAGTTGATGTCATTAAAAAAATCATTTTTCCTAAAATTACTAAAGGTGGTTCTACATGATGAAGCAAATAGAAATAATTTTTTAAACTTGTCTTTTAATTAACAACAGATTGGATGGTACAATGATGAAGTTCATAAAAGTTTCCATCTAGAGTATGACTATGATACTCTTGCCTTCTCTTTAGTCAGTCTACCAAAGATGTTTGATATCCTATTTTGCCCATTTCTTGAGCAGTGGGATGGCAAGGGAGGTAATGATGCTTTAGATGAATGTATGAGGTTCTACCTGAACAAACTGAAAAGTGTAATACTCTTTTCCATTTCTTTTCAAATGTACAAATTACATTTTGTACCTTTCATGATTTACAACTTACATGCCTATTCAGTATATTAAATAAAATCTGTTCATTAAATATTCCAAATTGTTAGCATTTATTGTTGTCAAATTTTGTAGAGATAATGACACATATCTTAACAAATCTTTAAACGATACTTGAACACATTTAAAGAACTTTACAGATGTTGAATTAATACATGATTTTGAATTCCACCACTCAAAAAGACCAAAAGTATTGGTACAGACAGCAGGACATGTGTCTGGCGGCGTTTTCTATTTTCAAAGAAAAGATATAAAACATAGTGACCCATGGCCTGAAAATGTTATTTTTTGATACAATTGAAGGCAATGTTTAAAAAATGTAGTATCTTTTAATTGCAGTGTTGTTTTTAGATGAATAGACAAATTCATTCAAAATAATGAAATCTAAATTATATTACATCTATTATATTATATTTGACAGAGAAAAATATGTGGAGTTTGTCTTCACCCAAAATATGGGGGATGGTTTGGCCTAAGAGGAATCTTGATTTTTAAAAATGTCAAAGTTCCTAACCTGATGAAGAAAGAATTAGAATGTTTTCTCTCTAATGAACAAATAATAAGCCTGCTAGATAAATTTAATAATTCCTGGAGAGATGGGACATTTAGGGATGTCATAGAACCTCTGGAACGATATTCCACATTGCAGCAAAAATACTTTAATGTCACTCCTGATGAAAGGCTTGAACTAATTGAAAAAATGAAGTATGGAACACCAGTTTAATACATTATACACATACACACTTGCGTACATGTGATTTTATGCCAGGCTCCACATTTAATTTCATTGCAGGAAAACTTCTTTCATTTCTGGATGTTACTCCAATTTTTTTTGAACTGATATTAAGGAATGTTTTACATTTTAACAATTTTTTGTTTTAAAGTACCTGTATTATTATTTACTTGTGACTTTTGTTACCTTGTAATCTCATTCAAAATGACTTTGTGCCTTTATGAATTACGATTCAGAACATTAACAATTTTATTTACACAAATGATAGTAATAAAGAAAAATGATTTTCAATTGAGGGTTCTTGGTTTTCAAAATGTACCTTGCTTGTAATGTTGGCTTTTAAATCATTCAAAATTCGGAGAAATATTTTATATTCTTTGGCAACAACTGGTTTGTGCCTGTTCATAATCTGAAATGGTGTTACATGAATTTCAAGTTGTATGTTTTTTAAAACCAAGTGCTTTAAGATAACAGTGTCTGTGACCCAAAAGCACGAAGAACCGGCATGACCTCCATCTAACCAATAAATCTTTTTCATTTTATTCATGAATAGCTGTAAAGCATCACAACTGTTGACTTCACCATCCCAATCATAAAGCAGCTGGTTAAGAACAATGCACCCTTTACTGAAACCAATTAAGATTAATGGCAGATCTATGATAGATTCATATTTGTAACATGTGCCATGATCAAGTAGTTTTCCATCTGACAAATTCTTAATTGCACTTTTTAACAAATGACAGAGATGAACCCAAGATTTTTGATTTGCATAATGCAACGGTATTCCATAGTTGGTTGATTCAACAAAATTTTTATACACACCGTATGTCCCTACTTCCATTTCTGATGGCTTAATGGTCCAAATAAAACTGAATGGGAATTTATCAGCAAGAACTTTTGTTGTGAAATCCAAATTCCATTTGTAAAACTCACTGTTTTTCATATTCTCTTCGTAATCCTTTAAAATTTATTATATTAATAATGAAAAAGCATTTCTAATGTAATTTTTTAAAATTGTAAAATAACAATATTTTAGATTTATAGAAATGTTATGGCACATTTAGAACATGTCTAACTTAACTAAACTTAAGTAAGACTGTCAAGAGAATTATTAATTTTTATATAAGGTGAATGTCTTTTTCAGTTAGTTTCATTTAGTAACATTCTGCTTTTTCTAATTGGAAATAAAACTAAAGCAAGTTTGTCATTATAAAACTTTTATGTATGATGGAAAACAACTATAAATATTCAGAATACTGGATTTAAATATTTTCCAATTATCTAAAAATTTACAAAACTAATAATATTAAACTAACTAAATAGTAAAATAATTCTAAGTAGTATTATATCAAAAAACACTTTTGAAATATAAAAAAATTAGCAAAAAATTAACTTGAAAGATTATGGAATAATCCTTAATAGACAATTAAGCTAATAAAAAATAAATGAGCATTTTTAAAAATTTTTATCTAATGAAAATAATTTAAGTTTAAGTTTTGCATTTTTGTTGCAATGGAATAATTAATGATATTGATTTTTATTTATTATTAAAGTTGGAATTAAAATAATTAAACATAATAATATACAAAATATAGAAAGGATACAGACTTGTATGTCTCCCCCAAAATACACTACGTTAGAAGTAGGAACTCCGTCAGAGAAAACGCTGAACAATATATCATTGCGGTTGTCATTAGAAGAACCGACAGCTCCCTGGACCCTGCCAAATATCTTGTTTGCCGGTTTCAAAAAGGCGGCAGCAGATGACATCGATAGAAAAATAACGATTGGTATCACTTTTAATCCATTAATAAAAAAAGAGAACAACATAGAGAAATAACGATGGGAAATCGGAGTTGATCAACACTTGTCGGAAACAGACCAACTGGCGCGCAGAAGAGTTTAGATATTAAACACCTAATTTTGAATTATTTTGTTAAGACTATTTAATTTAGACAATTTTGTTAAACAACTATTTTTTTGTTTTTTGTAAAACGACAATGAAAGTGTTCGTTCGTAGATAAAAAATTATTTATTTTTGGTTTACTATTTGGTTCAAATTATGCATAAAAAATAAGATGAACTTTCTAAAAATAATTTAATGTTTAATACACACAAATATTGTTGTGTTGTCCAGCAAAACGGCGAGGACGTTGCGTCGCTATTAAGTGATATTCGGCCTTCTATGAGATCGTAAATGACTTTTTAATCCCAATTCTGATGCGGATAGTTTACCACAATGGGGGCATCGAGGACCATAGTTGGTTTCAATATTCTCGATGTTGCTGCATGACGGATAAGTCCACGCCTGTAAAAGGCATTTGTCCATTCCAACATAAAAATTGTGAGACCAGCTTTACAAATCATCTTCCATGTAAACCGATCTTTTGCTATTTTTTCAATTCCAGTCGCGTTGATGTTACATTTTTGAAGTATGCTGCTTTTCACTTGATCCACGAATTGCTTCTTTAGCTGACCGACTAAACGACAGCCATTTGATAGTTCGCTGTATAACAATCTATGATATAGACGAGACTCCGCCATACGAATAACATGACCTATCCAGCTCAGCTGTTGTTATAACAATAGATATTCAGCCTGTGTAGTAGATGCAATCATAGACATATTTGTGAACATGGAAGACCTCGAGGGCTATGATAAGGAGTTTCACAACCATAAAGCAGGGCAGAAATGCAAACAACAGCTTGTACTCAGCAGTCTTTTCGTCACGGCAAGATTGTGATTTAAAAAGACGCGACTTCTCGGTCTACCAAATGGCTTTCGCACAACCAACACAAAACAGAGTCAGAACAACACTGGGAACAAATTGTGTGACTTTAGTACGCGTGCGAAACTATGCCAATGAGCATAGAGTCTCGTACCAAATCCACTTTTGAGAGCTTAAGACGTTTCTGAAACTATGCCAATGAGCATAGAATCACGAATTAAGTCTCTTAGATACCAGAATAGGCACCGATTACTCGAAGCTGCCTAACTGGTGAACCCAAGACGGACTCTTTTCGAGAACTTAAGACGTTTCCGTGCCAATGAGCATAGAATATCGAATTAAGTCTCTTAGAGACCAGAATAGGCACCGATTATTCATGGCTGCCTAACTAGTCAACCCAATGCGGACTCTCTATTATATCCATGGTCAGTACTGAGCACACTACTAAGATACATAAATTTCTGCAAATCATTGAGAGCATCTCCATGAACCATAAAGGGTGTAGCTGGTTTGTTTTGGAAGAGTATCTCGGTTTTTGCAGTGTTGACAGCAAGTCCTGCACGACTATAGACACATGACAAGACATTTAGACTACTTTGGAAGGCTGAGATGCTGTTGGCAGAGAAGGAAAACTAGAAGCTTCCAATTCCATCTTGAATCTACCTCCGTCAGAGTCTTAGATATATGTGTTATATGGTCAGTCAAGTAATTTTTGGCTGCCATTTAAAAAATAATTTTGAAAATCGCGTACGATGTTATTAGTTGAATCATTGCAAATTAAATGTAAACTGTAATGCCAGTAGTAACAAAGTTAAATATTGTGTTTAAACTTGTTTTTTTTGGTGATAATGTAATACTTCTCACGCGTTTGTAGTCATGTTTGCCTTTTTTTAAAGAATTCAAAATTTTATCTGCGAATGTAATAAATATTAGTTTATAGCGCAATCATCATCATATTCATCATCACCTCATTGGCTCATTCTCATCCATACCATGATCATCATTGTTATATGCTGTTTTATGTATATTAGATTTGTTTTTATTTTATCATTAAAATTGTTATATTGATTGTTAGCTAAAAATTAACTTAATGTGTAATACTGTAACATAACCTAACCTTTGTTTAGTGCTAATTAACAATCAGCTAAATTTGTTTACACTACAGTTTTTATTTTTAAATTTAAAATAAATTAAAAAAAGCTAAGCTAAGCTACTATATCTAAATTTAAATTACAATAAAATTAAAAAAAACAATACTTAACTTAGTTACTTAAGTATAAGTCTCAACTCTCAAGAAATCAGAAATCATAAATCTTAACTTTTTTAAAATTATATTGTAAATCAGTTAATTCAAAATTAAAAAATCATTGAATTCACATTATTAGTTATTTATAATTTTACTTTATATTATTTATTTTGGATTGTGTAGCCAATTATAGAGACTACTAATGGCATGCTAACTAATGGAATACTAATTAAAACTTAAGAGCATTTTTAAGATTTCTTGCCGAAGAGAAAGTGAAAAATAATAGTAGACTACATATTGTAGTTATTTGACTAGGATAAAATAAACATAAACAGATATATGACCAAAAAAATGAACAGCCGACAAAAGTTTTTACATTGAAGTTTTTCAAGTTAAATGCAAGAGTTACGGTAGAAGAACCGTAATAGTTTGAATTTTGAATGCTTGCAACACTCAGTCACAGACACACACACATGCAATATATATGCAAATTATATGCATGCTATGTGTTAGAAGAATTGATTGTAACCAAATTTTTTTGTATTATTGTGATGAAGGTTGTGCTATAATTGTGACTTGTCAGATTATGACTTGCAAGTTTTTAAAAGTCATTATAGATTATACATTTGTATTCAACTAATGTAAAACATATGTAAAACGCCCCTCTATGTAAAACTCAGCGCCTCTGAGTTTTACATAGAGGGGTGCTATATAAATTCTTCATACCATACCATACCATAAGTTTTTTGTCAGCAATCTAACTTTGAGTTTTTTTTTCATTAGAAATGCTGTCACTAAGATTGTGTTCCCATGGCAAGTGTTGATCGGAAAGAAGATATAATTCAGCCTGGATTTATCATAAGAGAAAGATGGAAAGTGGTAAGTAGGGATTGGAACAAGCTTAGTTGTGCTCTGTTTTTCAAACTCAAATTCACTGTTGCAACTTGATCATTCCCTCCGTGCTTTGTTTGTTGAAGCAACAACTTAACATACTTGTTGGATTTTAATTCAATTATAATAAATGCATAAAAACAAGTTATCAAAATTAGAATTTTTTTGAAATGTTTACACAATAAATTATACAACTAGAAAATTAAGTTTTGTCAACCTAGGGATTATTTGATTTATAAACCTCTTCATAACTTTCAGAGAAAGAAATTAGGTGGTGGTGGGTTTGGAGAGATATACGAGGCGCTGGACATGCTAACTGAGGAACAAATAGCATTGAAAGTGGAGTCTACACTTCAACAAAAGCAAGTTCTAAAGATGGAAGTTGCTGTGTTGAAAAAGTTGCAAGGTTTAATTTTGATGTTTTTGTTGGTTATTTTTTTATATATTTTATTTTAACAATTCAACAAATTAGATTGAATTTTTGTAAATTATTTCTATTTCATTTTTTTGACAAATTTAAAAAAAGATATTTCTCATTGTATACTTCTTTATTTATAGATTGATAGATTAGAAATGTTCATGACCACCCAGGAAAAGACCATGTATGCAAGTTCATAGCTTGTGGCAGAAATGACAGGTTCAACTACATTGCCATGAGTCTTCAGGGACGCAATCTTGCAGAACTTCGAAGGGCCCAGCCCAGAGCCTGCTTTACGATCTCAACCACAATTCGACTGGCTCTCCAATTGATATCAGCCATTGAAGCCATACACAGTGTTGGCTTCCTGCATAGAGACATTAAGCCTGTAAGTTCATTTATTACCATGGAGATTTTATTTATTTATGATATTATAATGGTTCTCTAATCAAATATTGAACTTGATATGAAAAGTCATTAGAAATTCTGTATCATTTTATATATTGGCATTTTGCTAATATTGCTTATGTTAATTAATAGCAGCACTTTATAAAAGACAAAACATAAAATTTAAGATATTATTTTTTCAGTCAAACTTTGCAATGGGTCGACTGATGAACACCCAGAAAACAGTGTACATGTTGGATTTTGGGTTGGCCCGTCAATGGGTGGGTAACAGTGGTGAGGTGAGGCAGCCGAGGAATGTTGTTGGGTTCAGGGGGACTGTGAGATATGCCTCCATCAGTGCACATAAAAACAAGGTACATAGGTATTTCATTCTTTAAAGTATGGTTTTGATTTTTAGTTCAATTAGTAATAAAAGTTTTTTCCCAGTGTAATATCACTGATCCTATTTTATAAAAATGCATACATTCCCACCATCATAATCTCCAAGATTAATATTTTAGAAATATCTTTGCAGGAAATGGGCAGAGTGGATGACATGTGGTCACTGTTCTACATGCTTGTGGAGTTCATCATCGGTCAGTTGCCGTGGAGGAAGATCAAAGATAAGGAGCAGGTGGGGATCATGAAAGAGAAGTATGACCACAAAAGCTTCTTGAAGTACCTGCCATCTCAATTCCACCCATTCTTGAGCCACATCACAAGCCTCAACTACTCTGATACTCCTGATTACAGTTTTCTGAGAGGTCTCATGTACCAAGGAATGAATGCTCGAGGAATCAAAGATGACGATCCGTTTGATTGGGAGAAGCAGGAGCCTGCAGCTCAAGCAGCTGAAGATGCTCCTGCTGTCTGTGCTAAAGTTAAACAAGATGGTTTTGATGTCAAAGTCAGAGAAATGTTAGATGATTCTTTTCATTTAATTTCACATTTTTCTTTGATGTTTAGCGATATACTTAAATTTTCGATGAATTTATTTTTTATTTTCTATAGATCTGGATTTGTTTCTGGTGACACAAACATAGCCAAGATGACCAGCACACCAGCCAATGGCTACAAATCTAACGGAGCCCTCGCCAGAGTCACTGAGAATGATGTTGTTGATCTGATGGATAACATTAAGATGTCTTCACCTGATGCAGAGTCTCCACGAAAATCTAAACATAAAGTTACCGATAAAAAATCAACACAACCGAAATCTCCAGAAAAAATTTTATCAAAGTCTCGAAAACCGACACATGTTGACAATGGTGCTGCCAGCAATTTTGTCATGAACAATAACAATCTTGATATTCCAGACGCCGTTATGAAGAGAAAGAGTTTTGATCTCTCAACTGAAAAATATATTGTCAAGTCGAATAATAATTCAGGACCCACAAAGGAAAAAACAGATCTGTCAAAGAACAATGAAGAGTGTATTTCGTCAGTGCAAAACTTGGTGCTCGAGGATCTGACAAATAATTGTATTGTTCAGACGGAGGACCAGGGATCAACACATGCTTTGAAACAAGCTCCTTACAGCATGTTCAGTCAGTTTGTTTCTTTTGTGGAAGACGACAAAACAGAAATTGAAGAAGATGATGGGAAGTCTAGTAAGGATAAAATCAGCAAACAACCGACTGCAAAGCATATCGTTGTGTCTGCAGATGAGACAAAGTTGCTTCTAAAGAATTGTGAAGAAGAAGTTGATCACCTTCTACCACGGCCGCTTTCATTGAATTCTCTCATGCCAGTGCAGAAGTCAAATGCCCTCATGATGAAACACATCCAGGACAAAAACAAACTTTTAAGCAAAATACAAGCTCGTGCCTTTGGCAATAAGAAGCCAGAAACAGGACCCCCCAATGAATCAACCTCCCTCAAAGATACGGCATCCGACGTTGTTAGTTCTCATTCAATTAAAAGTGAACACGTGACTAACAACCAGGACATGGTACAAACACATCAGGCCTCTCAACACAAACCGATTATATCGATCCTGGATGGACTGACCAGGAAGAAAAACAAACGAGCCGACAAAGTAATATCCAACATGCTGCCACCTGGCCAGTGTGATATTCTCCAAGTCATTAAGAATTCACCCCAGAACGTAAACAACGCCATGCAGTTTGCTGCTGCCGATGATTTGATTACGCCATGCAATGAACACGTGAACTTCAGTGAAACTGGTATGGAACTGGAAAAAGAAGTTAATAGAAGTAGTCAAACAGAATGTGTTGCAGCCTTACACACTCCGCTGAACGTTTCAGCTGGTTTTAACGAAAGATATGATGGAGGTAGGAATGCAGATGACCATCTTGAGAACCATAACAATTCATCAATCCATAATGGTACGTCTGCCGTTTCAAGCCAACAAAACGAAAACTACCATTCTCATTATGCTAAAATCCTCTGGCTTGAACAGTCCCATTTTTCAAAATCAAATGAAAATGAAAAACAAGATATGACCTCAAATTGCAATACTAACTCCACAAGATATTTTACTTCCACTAATACCAACCAGAGAACTCTGATGGAAAATTTAGAGAAAGTTCGACAGCACATATACAACGACTTTAACAACCTCAATAGTTTAAAACAAAACATTCACAATGCTGACAGCCAGGTGCCTCATGTACCATCAAGTAGATTCAAAGTGGACGTCAGCCAGGAAAGTAACTCAAGCATCCCACCGTACAACATGCTACCAAGGTGCAACTTTCTCTCTTATAATAACAATGACAGTTTGGAATCGACATTAACGATGAAAAAGAATAAATATTTCAACGTCAACAAACAGCTGGTTGTTGAAAGGAGTAACAAAATCAAATCCATCTTCTCAAATGGACATTTTTCAAAATTTTACAATAAAGACTTATCTTCAAACAACCCTACAAAGCATCTCAACAACATTGGCAGATCACATGAAATCATTGGAAGCACACTACGAAGCAGTTACTTTGCAAAATGTCCTGAGGACAAAAATTTGAAACCTAGCCTCTCATTTCAATCTTTAAATCAGCAGACAACGACGGCATTGAACGTGGTCGACGCAAATAACATCATCAGCAATGATCATGTCCAAGCTAAGATTGATGACAAGTTACCAGCAGCAAGCATTCCATTGCACCACCCACAACCTCACAATTCAACTGGCCACATAAGCGACACATCTAAACTTCTCTCGTCACCCAATCCCAACTTATTCTCTGCAGTGACTGCACCATCGGGTACCCAAGCACCGTCTGTAGCTGTAAATTCTTCCTATTTCACTTCCTATGCTTCCACATTACCGATGCCTAACCACAACAACAACAACAACAGCAACAACAATAGCAGCAGTAGCAACAACAACAACAACAGCAGCAGCAGCAACAACAACAACAGAAAAAACGGCAACAACAAAAACAACAGCAGTAGTATGTCATCATCACAAAAAGTTCATCGTATCTTACCTAAGCCACCGACATCAACCAACAACAACATCAACGACTGTGACAACGGTATTAACAACAACAACGTTAATAATACTAATAATAATTACAACAACAACAATATTAAAAACAACAACAGTAATAATAATAGCAACAATAATATTAATAATAGCAATACCATGTCAAACATTAACAAGTCAGTTTGTTAATTTATTTTTGAACGTTTGTAAGAATTCATTCAGAATGATTGCTTGTAAAAATTAGATTCAAATAAAAAGTTTATTTACATTAATTTTTTGTCTAAATTTCATTTTCATGCAACAAAATATTTGATGAATTTGATAACAAAAAATGATTTTAATGTGATTCATTTTGTGAAATTTAAGTAATAAGTGTATTGACACCAGTGTTACAGTTAAATAATTATTTCTCAGATTCAGAAGATTTCGACCAATGGTGAACTTTTTCCGGTCACAAGCCCCTCCCCCTAGCGAATGAGCTCAATTTATATTTATAATTTTTTGCTTATGTCATATTATTCACCTGTGTTTTATTTATTTCTTAGTAATAATAGTTATTCACATTTATGTCAAATTTATTTTCAATTGTTTTATATCAAATACTTGTTTGTTATTTTGTGTTTCAGTCAATTTGAAAATATTCTAGCAAAACTTTCAATCTGTTTTTCAATGGATTTAATAATTGTATATTAAATAATTTATATGACTTTCAATATTCTTAATGAATTGTATTAAAAATTCTTGTCATTACATTACGCTGTTACTGTTGCATCATCGTTCGTGTACTACGTTAATGCATGTATGCCGATTGTAGATTATCTCATTAAGTTAGCTGCCCATTACTATATATATATATCTTTGCGTGTGTGTGTGTGTGTTGTATGTTGTGTGTGTGTGTGGGAGTGTGTATTTCCTCTTTCTTCACTTTGGTGATTCATATGCGATAATCAAATATTTATATTTATAGATGTATTATTGTTGATGATTTAAACACAGAAGCACACACGTTTTATTGTTTTTTTTTAATTTTCAATTGAATAATTAACTAATTGATTGTTTGCATAATTAATTAATTAATTCTTTTATGACCGTAGTACTTTATCTAATCAATATTTGTTTCATTGAAACGAATGCAATCAATTTAATGTATTAATTGTGGTCAACTAAAGTTTCTATTTTCATAAACCTATTTTCATCAAATGTATTTTATACTATGGTATTATAGTCCTAAATATTTTTTATAGTGTATTTGCCGCCACATTTAATAGTTTAGCCATTTCATATTATCTGGTACCGTTCTTGTATCTATCCATCCATCGCATATCTATCTTTTATTATTATTTAGTAAATCTCGAGTCGAATTTGTTTTCATGTGGTTCTTCTTGAACAACATGACAGTAAACCTACCAATGTGAGTTAGCGATTGTAATATAAAAATACCAGTGTACATTATGAATCTGCTCTTTCATGCTGAATATCAATTGACATTAACAACAAATCACACAACGCGCTATATATTAATGATAGACTTCCTTCTTGTATGATCTCTTCAAAGCCAAAATGTCCACTCAACAAAATTATCTGTTTCATTGATTAATTATACTGTATGATAATTTGCTTTTGTTTCAGCGAAAAACTGTTTCATAGATATTTTTTAACGATTTAATTGAACGCCTGTTTTATAATACGTATTTTATATTTACGTTAGTCCTATATACCGATACAATTGTACATATTAGTGCTATATAAGCATTGAAAATATTTAAATGACTCGAGTCGTATGGTTAATATTATGATAGCTTAGTGATATTGAATTTTATTTTGTTGATAATTTCAACTGAAATCATCCACGTATTCTCATTAGGTAGTCGTGTTAATATTATAACGATAGGAATTTATAATTTGACGCAAAAATTTATATACTAAATATCTGCGGTCTGAATTGGATTTTCATTCAGTTTATGTCTGCGTGTAAGTGCTCTATATATTTTTCGTTTAATTTTTGTCTGGTGTGAAGGTTTATATTTATGAATTTATTTTAAACTTCCTGAGTGTTTGAAATTATTCTTGGAATTTTTTCTTGATTTTACAATATATTTTATTTATAGATTGTTTTGGATTACTGGTACCTTTTTTTTTATTAAATTTTAAACATTTAAATTTCCCGAATAAGCTTTCAATTGTTACGAGGTAAAACTTTTTCTTGATATAATTTCAAGTTTGAAATGGTCTTTCATAACTTCTTAACACCATTCATTGATTGAACGTGTGCATGCAACTAACAAACAGCCAAGAGAACACGTAAAACATCACGACAAAAAATTTCTTCTTCTCTCTATGTGTATAATAATAACTATTTATTTATTTATTCGTGTCAATCAAATGACATTCAGTTCATTTGAATAATCAAGAAAGGACGACAAAGATAACAAAATCAATAAAAGGATTAATAATTGAAAAGTAATATTAGGTTACCACAAATTATAATTAATAAATTAATTAATACCAGATTAAATTTACAAAAAACATGACACTTGGTCGTACAATTTTATTCATTTATAAATACCTGTGTCGTTATAAGTGTATGTACGTGTGAGAAGTAGAATATATTAACAAATCAATCATGGGCACAGGACGATATCATCATACATGGTAGTTTAGTTAGTAACTAGACGAATTATTTATCGATTGAATGAATGGACATATTTTGCCAACATAAATATGGCAAATATAAAACTCTGAAATAACTTCCAAAGATTATTTTAAAAACACTTGTTATTTGTGATAAAATGCCTTATTAAAATTTTCGCTAGGGTTAATTTTAATAAGGCATTTTATCACAAATAACAATCCATTAGATGGCCGTAAAAGACTTCAAAATTCAAGCAGATCAATTCAGAGTCTATTGATTATTATATAATCAATAGACTTATATAACTGTAAATATAATTATATAGAATTATATTTATATAACTTATAAATAAAATTATATAGAATTATATTTATATAACTTATAAATATAATTATATAGAATTATATAACCAACTCACGCACGAAATAACAACCAGTAAAATGTAACAAGCACATGATGACTTAATTATGACAGGTGCATATACTACTCGTTGATAAATATCTAATAGACTCTATTCAACACGCGGACCTACGCTGATAGTTAAAAAATAGTATATAAACGTTTCTGTTTGCCAAACGAACCGTAAAGAATGAAAACAGTTCGCTCGTAATACCATCTATTTGGTAAATTTTTAAAAATATTTCAAACCAGATACATAATATGAGAGAAATTTCATAGATTTAGATTAGTTTATACATCTACAGGATATAAAATGACCAATTAGCATTGCAGCTATAAATAAATAAATTATGATAATGGAAAATAAATAAACATAGGGTAATGTAAGGACCTTGATTACTTTATTAATATATATTATACATCGCAATATCATTTGACGCAACGTAATATGAACAGATAAATAAATAAAATAAATACATAGATAAAAATGTATCACAAGGCGTGAAGAAGGAAGGTGGGAATAGAAACGGTGGAAAATAATTAACGTAGCATCGCCACGTTTCATTCCAAACTCCACATAATAAATACATACATTACGATGTTATTATATGTAGCATTATATCACATACATTATCATGTCATATTTAATCATTGTGTCACACATATTCAACATATCATTGCATCACATCGATATGATGTCATGTAAAACATACTATTATATCACAGACCACTACCACACCACATCATCTCCAGACAGAGTGAAGGATATATTGATCCAGACTTATCAGAATGAAATTAAAAAATAAATAAAACGAAATCTACAACAGGCAAAATCTCCAAAAACCACAAATATATACACCTTATAAAAAAAATAATTGAATAATTTCGCCGCAATCAAATGAATTCCTAAAATCAAAAACTTTCAACACTTCATCCAGCCAAATGAATGAGCGCCAACGAAGTTTAATCACTCAAAAACAATGCATGCACGCAAGCGACAGCAATGAAAATATATTAATAAACATTTATCCACAGTTATTCGGCTGATATAAAAGGCAGACGATGCGAGATCAAATAGAATATAAAACAATCTTTTTTTTATTTACATACTGAGTGAAATATTTATAGTTTTCTTTTCATAATGCGCTGTCTTTAACAGAAATTGAAACACGCATTCACGTTACGTTTCGAACAAGTGGGCGCGTGATGGTTAAAATTAAATAATTTGAACTTCACGTAATTTATGTGATTAATACTTTCACAGTAACAAGAAATGAACGCTGAACCTAGAAACAAGCAAGTACTAAAAGGACAAAAAGTTATAACATAAGAAGCAGCACAACATGCAGATATTTCATCATTAGCAAAAAATTCTATCTCTAACAATATGAAACAGCAATTAACAATTAACAAACTAGAGCAAAATTAACTTCAAACTTTTCAAACTTAAGAAAAATGAAACGCAAAAACGTATAGAACAACACGTAAGCATAATATAAAAATATCTCTAACGTTACCAATACAAATTACTATCTTCATCACATTTGAATGCATGCTGCCCAGACAGATTATGCTATTTTACTATTTTATACACTAGATATAACACCGCAAACTACCATCTTAACAAGGCATATACTTTTTTTATTTAAAAATATTATGTATCTCTAAGGCAAAGTACAAACAAATTAATTAAAAATTAAACAATGCACTGTTACTTCAATGGACACGACGATGTCAATCAAGAAACGCTAGGCATCTAGGGTTAGTGAACGAAACATTAATGATAGTTAACAATGACGACGATAATGATGAACATAACTAGAAAATCTCAACGAAGATGTTAATGATGATGTGATGGTGGATATGAAGATACTGAAGTTAACTAGATGATATATGTTTAATCTGATACTGGTACACTTCAACTGTTCTTCCTTGCTAAAAATAAATTTAACGTAAATTTTATCACAAAATAAATGAAAAAAAAATGAAGAAAAAAGGACGGAAAAATAAAATATTTACATCACGTCTCCGACATCTACTTGGCATGGGACCAGAGATATTTGTTGTTGAGTTTTTTAAATATGAGAGATCTACTCAATGATGATGGTGATGAAGAAGAAGAGGATGATGTTGTCGATGAAGAAGCTTTCAGTGGGAAGAATGATGAAGTCAGTGATGAGTGAATGATCGAGGTTGAGCCTCTGAGAGGGTATTCTGTGGAATAATTCATGTCAGAATTAGTTAGTAAGTAATTCACGAAATAATTCATTTAAAGTTATATGTTGTAGCTTTTAGTATGTTACTAGCTTCAAGAACCAATATCGCAACCTTCAAATGATTTATCAATTTCGAAGCAGTATTCACTCATTTATCCCTTCCATCATTCATTCATTATCAATCAATCAATCAATCAATCAATCAATCAATCAATCAATCAATCAATCAATCAATCAATCAATCAATCAATCAATCGATCAATCAATCAATCAATTAATCAATCAATTAATCAATCAATCAATCAATCAATGAACCAACCAACCTTCTGATCCGGACAGAACGTACAGTCCATACTCTTGCGAGTTGGCCAGTTGAAGTCTGTAGGACATCATGTTGCCTGAAGTGATGTTGTGTGTATTTTTTATGTTTGTGTGCGTGTTTGTGTGTTTGTTTGCCTGTTTGTTTGTGTGTGTACAAATATTGTTTTCATACTAGTTAAAACAACACAACAACACAACTCACACAACACAAAAGAAAGCAAGCCAACACAACAAACAGACAAGACAAACAAAACCGAAGCAGAACAACAAAACAAGACATGACCAACACTAACATATATCATGGGCGGTGGTGTTTTCATTGACGGGCAGGCACCACTTTGTGAGGCTGGACGTCCTGTCGTCCAGCATGTGCACTGTCACGAACTCTCCCATCAACCAGTCTGTTTCCAAGTATTTGTTCGAGATGTACTCACTGGCATCATTGCCGCCAGCATTGTCATCATTCTGGCCGGCATATGCAGTTTCGCTAGCGTTACTGTCGTTGTTGCCCCCATTAGTGACTATGTTGTTGTTGACGTTGTTGTTGATGTCATTATTGACATTATTGTTGTTGCTGCTGTTGTTGGTGTTACTAGTGGAATGTGTGGACCAGTACTTCTTGACGATGTTGATGGCGGAGATGAAGACGTTGAGAAAGAAAGTGGTTTGCCCTGTGAACAATTTCTTCTGAAGAAGTCTTGAGATGTAATCGGCCTCTATCTCAGCTCTCGTAAAGTTACATTGGATGATTATGTAACTGAGGCAGAAGCTGAACTCTGTAGAACGATAGGTAGGTGCAAATTTTCATTCATATTTGTAAATGATGCATTAGTGCTATCATTAATTTAAGAATAAATTAACTACCAATAAACGCAATTTGGCTACATAAACGGTGTGATAGTAAAATAAATTAGTCAGTCTAGAAATTCAAGAAGTCTGACTAAAATGAGGGTTCATTATAAAATAGATCATTTCATTCTCAAAGTAAAATAGCTAAAAGAAAACTACATTCACACAAAAACAGCTGTTCAAAAACAATTATAATGATTAACTAACTATCTAGCCAACAACAATAATGAAGATGACAAATGCTAAGAAGTCGGTGCCATTAAATAAGATCTATTTCTTGTAACAAACAATTAACTGACAACTCATATTAAATATTATCCCACCTTAATTCGAATTAGTAGCAATAAACATTGTTGCAAAACTTACATAATAATATTACCATGAACATTATTATAAAAAGATTAACACACCAACCGACAACCATTAAATGATGAGATGATTGCAAGGAATCCAAGAAATGTGTGGACACCTGTTACATAAATCAATACAACTGATCATTAAGCTTTAAAAAACTAATTATTTTTACACAGAAAAAAAATTGTAATATAGTTTTTTAATCCGTCTTAATTATTTCTCTAAGATATCAAGAACACACACACACACACACACACACACACACACACACACACACATTCACAAACACACACACACACACACAACCCACACGGCGCATGTGAATACGCGTCAACCAAAGCGCCATACACATTGCATGTGATAGATAAATAAGGGATCTTTTTGCATTCAAACCTGGTCACTGCAACGGCAGAAACAGACGCCTTAACCTTTGCACCAAATTCCCGCCAACTATTTTACACACTTATTAAATAATTCATTACAATTAATTTTTTTATTGAATTAATACAGTTGCAGTATCACTTTTTTACTCACCTGCTCTTCAAGGTACATCAATGCCTCAATTAGCAGCTGAACTTTATCATTTGGCGAATAGGTGAAGTTCATGTTAACAAAGTGATCCCTGCACCAACACGTTGATGAATTGAGTAGAACAACCAGTTGGGGCTGTTGTTTGAGTGGTGAGTGTTCAAGAGTGAGAATGAGTGCCTCTACGTTTAAATTATTTACCAATATGAAAGAATTCATTGATATCTAAATTTAGAGAAAGATATTTAGAAGTAACAAAAAAATAAACATAACAGAAAACATATAAAGAAGGATATAGACAAAAAAAAAGAAAGTGAGTACAAACAGCAACAAAAAACTATTAAAAAAATAAATAAATAAAAAGATAGGCCAATAAACAGATAAATAAACAGACAGCCAGCCAAATAAACAGAGAGAAAGATAGACTAGCGACGAGACTAAGAAACAAACTTTGAAATGGAGAAGTTGAATATTATCAGATGCTTTCTCAATAGCGTCACTCAACTTCATCTGTTTCGTTCCATTTGAGATCATGTTGTTGTTGTTGTTATTGTTGTTGCTGGAAGTGAAGTTTTGTTGTTCCATAGCATGGCAATTTAAACTGGTTATTGTTAAAATAAAAAATTATTAAAAAAATGAAAAAATAAAAAATAAATTTATATTAATTACGAAAATATTACAAGCAAAGCAAAGAAACTAAACTAAACTAAACTAACTAACTAACAACAACAACAACAAAAACAACAACGAAGATGCAACTAACCTATAATAATAAGTGTTGTAGAGCAGTTTGATATGTTTGTGCAGTGGCTTGAGTATGCACTGTAGCAATGATCTTTCGTATATCGAATCCATGTTCACTATCTCCTCTGACCTCATCTGAAAGTGGTGAATGGTTTCTTTTGCTATCAGCTTGAGTTAATAAGTAAACATTATCAAGGTGTTCTTTGGTACTGTTCTAATAAATACAGGTCGTCTTCTTAATATACGTTGAAAATAAAATTAAAATATGTGGTGTGTTTAATATACTCAGGAATTTTTGGAAAAGAAAAAACGCATTTAAACAAAAATGAGTTAATCGGAAAAATTAATCGAATATGGAATTAAACGAGCATTGAAAAAAAGTAATTTCAAGAAGATAAACAACAGCTAAACAACATAAACGACCACCAAACAACTTCAACGACAATCAGATAACTTAACCAAACAACCAAGCTACATAAAGAGTGGGTTAGTTACTCACCTCATTCCTTTCATTCTCAATGATCTTCCATATGTTAGCCTCTTTGTAGTTCTTCAAGTAGTTCATCATCCCGTCCATGAATTGTCGTACCTGGAGAAGTAGGTAGGTAGGTAGGTAGGTAGGTAGGTAGGTAAGTAGGTAGGTAGGTAGGTAAGAAAACATAACTATCATAAACGGTAGCAATAACAACTGACATGAAAAAAATAAAATTTGCCAACATGAATGATAATAACACCGGCAACTAACATGAATAGCCACAGTGACAGGATTGATTTCCTTGCCTGCCAGTGTACACTGAATGAATTCTGTACATATCTGACCAAAAAATGTTGACTGCTCCGTCGAGGTCCTGCAATATTGTGTACATATATGTAAATTTGTGTACAGTTATGTATATGTGTATAAGTGTGTACAGTGGATTATATTTACATCATACGCATTCACTTTGTATTTGTGAAACGTATACATATGTGCAAATATTTTTTTGTTTTCTCGGGTGAGATAAATGACCCAATTTCACACAATGTTCAATATCAATGATAATAGCGTAACAATACTATCAAAAGATACATATCCACCACAATTAATAAACCAGCAAACAAACAAACAAACAAACAGACCACCAAAATAACCAGAATCGACAAATTAAAAAGCAAGACAAACTTGATGATTCCTTCTGATATGTGGGAGACATGTGAGTTGACATCCACGCTGTTGTCCACGTTGTACGTGCCTGTGAGTGTTGTAGCGGATGTGATGAAGATGATGCCAATACAATGAAGATGACAGTAACAATGACAGTTTCGATGAAAAAGATGAGGACAGCATTATGACAATCCAACTTTCCCAACTCAACACCCAGATAGAAAAACAACAACAAAAATAGAAATGAATTAAAAGCTACAAAGTGAGGACATACAATAAGACGAATTTAAGGCAACAAACGAATTAATAAATATGTGGGTGTAAATAAGATGAGATGAATTAAAAATAATAACAATGAAGCAATTAAACAAGCAAACAACCTCAAACTAAAAACTGTTTGTTTCTTTATTACTAATTAAATAAAAGTGAACATTCATAAAGAAACAGCTGTGTCCGTGCCTGCACGTGTGCGTGAGTCTGTATGCATGTCTTTGTATGCGTGCCTGTACGTCTAGTTTAGCCGCAAAATATTACCATTGATTATAATGCCATAGTGTGATTTGCATTTACACATAACAAACAGTAATGAGGAAATGTTTCAAATTAATAGGATGAATGAATGAATGCATAATTAACCAGGCAACATTTGATTGGGCCAAGGGAGATGGCTGGAAATGATGAATAAACACAATTAACTGAAAACACAAAAAGATTAAACTAACCAAAATGAACGCTGTTGATGTTGTTCAGGTAGTTGTTGTTGTTGATGATGTTGTTGTAACTAGTATTTGCTTCCATCACTGAGCTGTTTCGTCTCAACTTGATGTGGTTGCTATTACCATTGAAGCTGCCTTTACTGATTAAGTAATTTTTGAAATTGTTACCATTTTTAATGTTGGTGACATCAACATTTTGTTGTTGCTGTTGTTGGTGATAAAGGGGTAGCTGCAATCTGAGCCGTTGATCAACTGAACCATGAAGGCTGAAGGTGTGAAAAAGCTGTTGCAGTTGTTTTGGATGGTGTGGAGATTGTTGACAGTGTTGATGTAGAGCTGAAGTTTCATCTGGCAGCTGTTGATTTTGTTGTTGCAGTTTTTGATCATGTGCCATAGTTTTGTTGAATTTACTTTCCAGATTCTCCAGCCGATGATAATTTATTTCTGAGAAACGATTATTCTTTATGTTGTAGTTGTGACTGCTGTTAGTTCTAAGATCCGCCAAAGCTGACAGGTAAGCATCATGCCTCCTCTTGTCCTCCAAGTCTGTCTCTGTCTCGTGATTCGCATTTGGGGTACGAGTGTTTTTACTATTCAAATAACTTAATTTGTCATCATAAGTGCATTTTGTTAACCTATTATTAATATAGTTATCAATGTTGTTGTTGTTGTTATTGATGCTTATGTTGCCGTTGGGATTGTTAACATGACCATTTGCTAGCTTAATACTGCTGTCACTATTGGCAATTGTAGTGTTGCTATTGTCACAAACTGAAGTAACATCCTGATAATGAGGCTCAGAAATGATATCAACCTCACTTATAACAGGTGGAGATGAAAATGTGTATGCAGGTTTGTTTGGTAAAATCATCTGGGTGCCGTTGTTAATACTGGGAGCTGGTCGGCATGTGTTGGAGTTTTTTCTTAATAATGGCGTTGTCTTAACGTTGTTTTTTGATGTAAATTTTTTTTCAGCACTTGAAACAAGGTTGTGGTTGTAACTATTATTTTTAACTTCATTGTGGTGATCCTGTTGGTGCTGGTACTTCATAGAAAGACTATTTGTTTTGTGAACATTCACCCAATTTGCATGGCATTTATCTACCACTTCTATGTAAACATCGTCAGAAATGTTATCATCATCTACATTCTTGTCAAAATTATGATCAGTTGCATTACTCCGAGTGCCATTATTACAATCTAAATTTTTATTATACCCTCTAGACCAATCAGCAGTACAGTTAACATCAGCATTGATGTTACGAGCAACCACAAGTTCACACTGAACTGACTGAAGTGATTGTTCAGCTGCATCCTTCTTGCCCTTGCATACAAGCCCATTAGCTGCCTCTACAGAAATGTCATCAAGGCTCGAGAAAAAGACATTTTTGTCTGAGATGTTGAGAGGCGGGTGGAACTTTGGAGATGGAGTCACGTCACAGGGTATTTTGTAATTTGTGCTCACTTTCAAAAAGCCATTCTCGACTTTGTTTGAAAGGCTTGTGTTGTTTGAGCTCAGCAGCTTCTTATTAAGAGTTGTGTTGTTTGAGCTCACAGTTTTGCTTGAGTAGCTACTTGATGCTTTACTCCTTTGAGCAACTGCTTCTAAGTATTTTCTGAGATTATCATCTGAGTCTTCACATGGTTCAGCATATATAGGACTCGGATCATTTCCTATTTCAGGAATGCTTAGGAGATTACTTGGTAGTGGGTTGATGAGTTTATCGAGAGTGTCTGGATTTGATTGTGAGGCAGATAAGCCATTGAGACGGTTGGCAAGCTGAAGGCTGTTGAATGGCATGTGATGGGAAGAATTGTTGCTGCCCATGGATACCACTCTGCATATATTGCAGTTTCTGTTGTTGTTGGTGGTGCTGACCATATTGGATGATGCTCTTTGAGTGTGTGCTTGATACATATCACGGCTTGTGTGTCTTGATGATGTGTTTGACGACGACGACGATAATGTCTGTTGGGTCACGTGTGCATTTGGATTGTTCATCAGGGAGAGGAATGGGGATGAAGCTGATGTTAATTGGTCATGCTGGCTCCTCAGCTTGTACTTCTTCAAGTTGATAATGCAGTTGTTGCTGTTGTTTATGCTGTTGTTGATGCTGTTGATGCGAGCCAGTGAGCCTATGTTGTCGTAGATTGTTTCATTGGCATAGACATTATTGAAGTTAATTTTGTTGTTAGCAGCATGATCATTGAAATCTTTATTCGAGCGTTGGAAATTTTCATAACTGGAACCACAAGATCCTCTAAATAAAATTTTGCTATGCGGGTCTTCAACTGACTTGTATGAAAATGAATAATCAAGGGACGATGTGTTAGACTGATGTAATTGCTTATGTTGGCAATGATATAATTGTTGTTGAAGCTGATTTTGTTGAAGCTGATGCTGTTGAAGCTGAGGTTGCTGAAGCTGAGATTGTTGATGCTGTTGCACAAACATTTGCCCATGTTGTTGCTGTTGGTGATATTTTTGCTGTTGTTGATAATGTTGTTGATGACAATGAAGTAGTTTTTGTTGATTTTGTTGATAAGATGTTGCTCCACATTTACCAACAATCATCTCAATTTCTTGTTCTGTCTCAGCTGCTTGAATGGCAGGTGGTAGGTGAAGTTGCTTCAAGCCACAGCTTAAACATCTGCAAGTTTGTGGGCGTGGAACAAAATTTTAATGGTATCATTTTCATGCAGACATGAATAAAGGTAACAAAATGTTTATAATGTTTGACTTAAAGTTAAAAAATAATTAAAAGAAATATGTACACATTGACAGTTTAGTTTAAACTTTAGCAAACACATACAATATTAAATGGAACAAAACTTGAAAGTTCTAACCAAATATTGTGAGAGTTTGAACAACATTATAACAATTTCTAAATGTTCAAAAATGTTCATATTCATAGTACAGTTTTATAGCAAATTAAAAAAATTAACAGGCGAAAGAAGATTGGTTGATTGATCAATCAATCATCAATCAATCAATTGATTGATTGATTGAAAGATAGGGAGAGAGAAATATAGAAAGAAGAAAAAAAGAAAGAGTTACAGAAAAATGATAAAATGTGTTGATTCTTCGAAAAAGAGTTTGACTGAGGTAGTAATAATTAGAATTAAATTTGAGCTATTCAGAATTCATTATAAACTAAAACTACATAAAATATTTAGAATGATCAAAATAGATAATATTTACTAAAAATAATAAATCCCAAAATATTATACAAAAGTGTATTTATGTGAGTATTTATGAACAGAAATATAATTGAAAGCATGCTTTTTGATGTAATGCGAAAGAAGAGTGTGTGACACAACAGCAGAAACTTATGCCAGAAAGAGCTAACAAGAATGCACCAAACATGAAACAAACATATAACATAAGGTCTACAACTTCATAGCAGCAAAGATAACGCTGTTAACAAAAATCAAGAATTGAACTGACGCCGGGCGGCTGGCATGAAGAACCACGAGCTGTTCAAGACTTGTAAACAAGTAACTGCAGCCGTTGAGGAAGTAGTAGCCATCTCTTTCATCCACTTTGATGCTTCTCATCTTGTGCGGAATGTTTCTACCACAACTGTACGACAAGACCAAGCCTGTTCTGCCGTCTTCATCTATCTTTCTTATTATGAAACTCTGTTAGCATGCATTTGTAAAAAAATATTTTTTGTTTTATTATTTATAAAAAATTAGTCTGATAACATAAAGAAAATTTAACATTACAGATTCACATTTCTGAGTTTTCTCTACAAAAATCATATTATATTTTATATGAACTTATACACATATATGTATGTATGTATGTATGTGTGTATGTATGCAGGTCTGTCTGTATGTATGTATGCATGTACATATGCATGCATACATGCATGTATGTATGCATGTATGTATGTATGTATGTATGTATGCATGTAAGCATGCATGTATGTATGTACGTATGTATGTAAAAATGTATGTATAAATATGCACACATATAAAGATATGATTACATTTTAAACAATTTTTGTATTAATTTCTAAATCTTAATGATGTTTATGATATTATTATAAACCAATTAACTTACATGCAGCATAACCTAGCAGTCACTACAAGATAGTGTACACATAACATAGCAAACAATTAACCAAGATTTCAATTACATAACCTCAACCTCCCATATCTATTCAATTTATCAGCATAATTATTTATTTATTTAACATGGAATTACATCAGCTGACAAGATTTTTCAGCAACCCTATTAAGAAAGTAACAATATTAACAGATAACGACAATAGTAACAACTACCATTGCAACAACATAATATAACAATAAGAGAAACAACAACAGAATCATTTCTGTTGCTGTTTCTAAGAATCTGTCAAAATCTAACCCCTTCATTTTGCTTCTGCAATGTCATCAGACTGTTTCCTCGACCATAGTTTAGCTTGTACCAAAGTTGCTTTGATAAATTTACTTTTGTTTCCAATGTCAAACATGGGTTGTGTTTTCTGAATGTACTCAAATCTTCTGACTTCTGTTTGGAAAAATGTGAAATAATATATTAAGAATAACTGATTCAATCAGTTATTACCTTTTCAATAATTGAACAAAATGTTAAAAAGTATGCTTACATATTGTTCAAACCAAACTAGATTATTATTTATTTATTTCAGTTTTAAACAAAACTATGGTGAAGATCACACAAATCATAAAAGTAGTTTATAAAAAAAAACAATACTAACTGATGGTGTTTGAGACCTGTGTGATTGTGAAATGCTATCTTCAATATCCATTGATATTAAATCAAAAACCTGATTGAAGAAATTTAAATTTAAAACATTCATCTATTTTGTAGAAAATTTTAGCAAGTTTCATTTTCTTAAGTACCTACTAAAAGTAGGACTGGAAGTATTAATTATAATGATAAATATCAACTCAGTCAAAATCAGTTATGATAACATATACATATGCGTGTATTGTATATATTATGTATACCTGTATAGTATTTACATATAAACAAGATAAGCCCTACTATATAACTATCTTTAGGTATATTATAGCTATAGGTCTATCTTGACTACCTTGATATCATAAATATTAATAATCTCAGGCTAGTTAAGGTCAATGATCTAAATAAAGTTTGTAGGAAATTCCATTTTTGTATTTATTTCATATGCATGTCTAATATTATAATTATAAAAATGTTTAAATTAGTATTCTGCAATGTTGTCAGACAAATAAAATATCTTTTGCAAGAGCCCTAGGCACTTATATGATGCTTAATGAATATTAAAACAGGAGGTAACACAAAAAAAAAGTTTTATACAAATTTTGAATCAATACGCGAAAATGAATCATACGCCTTATTAGTACACAGTCTCTTTTGCTATAAATAGCTCAAATTAATTCATTTGTAATTAGTAAGAAATTAACAACATTCATGAAAATTATGAAAAAGCAAATAAATATTAAAATTGTTTAATTAATGAGTTTCTTAACTTTTAATTTTAAAACTCAAAAATAGATAAATTAAATAAACAATTTTATACAAAATTTAGGAATAAAAAATTCTAACCTTTAAAACGTCATCTATCTGATCCATCTTCACATTACTCATCAGCTGTTAACTTGTTGTCTTGCATAAGATAAGCTATCCTAGAGATAAGCAGTAATGAGCATAGCATAAAGATAAAGTTAATGCTAAAGTTAATCTGTTATTAATAATAACAATAATAACTTATTATTAATGAAATGAGAACAATTAATATTAATAATAACTGAAGATTAGCCTGGCTAGCTCAACCTCCTACTTAAAGCCTACCTACTCACCAGGACCAATTCATTAATAATAATAAATTAATAATAAAAAAAATAATAAAATAATTTAATATGTGATGTGGTATATTAAAAAAACATATAACACTAGCAATACTCTGCAATAAGCAATACCAACCAAAGCTCTAAAAACATGGAATAGAACACTAACAATTAATTTGCTCATTTATTTATTATATTTATTTATTTAATAAAAAAATTAAGTAAAATTATTATTGATTTAAAAAAATTAAAATATAAAAAAAATATATCAAATCCAAAATCTCTAAAGCTAACCAGCCTAAACGTGTTGTAATGTAAAGAAACAAACAATAAACCAGCAATACGAAATATTTACAAATATATATTTATAAGATATTTATATATTTATATATACATTTATATATATATTACAAAAATCGTAAAAAACGAAGGGCAAGCCTGGAATCCGTGGCTTTCCTAGAAAGAAAAAAAAATTAGTCGTTCGTTCGTTTGTACACACGCGCCGTACTACTAATTAGAAAAAAATGCAAACAAACAACCGTGCACGTTACCGAAGCAATTGGTCAACAGTGATGCTACATAAACTATTCTTTACGGTTTCTTCATTGATTACCTACAATTGATCAACTTTGTGTTCATAAATATTTTTGGCAAATAAAGTAAATTCAATTTTGTAAAAATTTTATTGGAAAAGGCTTATTTATGGACTTATATTATAATAAGTCATATAAGTAAAATTTTTACATAATTTCTTATCATAATGAAATGAACGCAATAATATGATCATTCAGTAGCGAACTGTTATAAAAAAAAAACTAACGTTTATAGATTTATATAAAGAATACAAAAACCTGTCTCCACAATTCATGGAGGAGCATTGTATTACACATCGGAATTGAAATGAGACCTTGACCTAGACAAGGGCTTGTGGCGCAATAAATAACGCGTCTGACTACGGATCAGAAGATTCCAGTTTCGACTCCTGGCAAGCGCAAATTTTTTAGGCAGTGTGATGGCCTAGTTGTTAAGGTCGCATGGTGCTGTTTCGCAGTGCCGAGTTCGATTTGGTTTTGACAAAAAGATCACCGCCTGGCTATCACATGCTTCGTTTGGATGCGTTGTTTAGCATGTATTCGTATACGATGCTGCTGATTCCTCTGAACCTAGGAAGGATGTAAAAGACCTTAAACTATATATATAGAAAATAACATTGTTATTATAACATTATATATAGATGGAACAGATATATCTAAAATATAACATTATTTTAATAATATGTATATATATATATATATATATATATATATGCCTTTAACCTTGCGTTCAAGTTAAGTCATACCATTCTATTTCTCGCTCTCACCGATAGACTGAACTTAAACTGCTTGGATCTCAATGCACCAATTATGTTGTCACAATTATATCGTTTCATACTCTTAAATAAATTTGATGTTCCATTTTTTTACTTAAATTTTATTCAGTAGTTTCAAATTTACCTCATTATGCCATCAAAAAAATATTTTCACCCCTGCGAGGTAACAAAAAACAATGCAATATTTGTACAACAGCCAGACAGTGCTTGATAACAAAAATTATATTATTATCTTTCAGTATATTTCAAAACATAAATATAGAATAATCTAAATAATTTTACTAAGAAAAACATTTACATTGACTAATTGTATTTGTTTTTTGAAGTAGGCCTATCATTTTTTTTCTCTATCAGGAAATTATTTAATAAAAATTGTTGAGCGAAGGTTGAAAAATGTTTTGGCAGTCGGAATCCGCAGTCGAAGTCTAGAGTCGGAAAGTTTTCAATTAGGAATTTGATTCGTATATCGGAATAGGACAAATTTTTATCTAACACCGACATTTCTGAATTTCGAACCTTTAATCTTTGTCGTTAATATCGAAGAATGGCTATCGTCGATGTTGTGTATCCTCGTGACTATTTTTGTATTGAGTTTGGTATCGGCAATATTTCAAACGGTATTGCCAGTATTTTTAAACAAACAAAATGAAACCAATAAAACATCATTTTTTTTATTGAATTAAAACTTTTTTGACAAATTTTTCGTGTTTGGCAGGTTTGGCGGCCCATGTTTTATGTTTACTTGTTATTCGCGTTTGCTTGAAACTAATTTTTACTACATATTTATATTCCACGTTAACTAACGTTAATATTAGCAGTGTAGTTTTTCAAACAAAATAGCTAAATTATTGTCAAAAATTTTGTTTAGGTTAGTTTAAAGTGTTTTATTTTGTCGATCTCCCTTTTTTCATTTAATAATGCTGGTAAATATATTTAGTTTTTAATTTTAATTTAGTTTTTTGTTTTTGTTGGGCTGAAGAATGAATTTTTATTTTTAGCATGTTAATTGTAAATGTGTATATGTGTGTGTGTGTGTGTGTGTGTGTGTGTGTGTGTGTGTGTGTGTGTGTGTGTGAGTTAGGTTGTGTACTATGCATTTTTTTACTTTATTACTTCTTTTTGTATTATTCATTATTGCATCAAAATTATATTATTATTATATTATATTTTGTTACAAAATTAATAGAGTCAATTAATTAATTAAAACTTAAAATTAAAAGTTAATGTTAAATTTTGGAGTCAGCTAAAAATGTTTTTTACTGCCTGATTTTTTGAAATTTATTATGCTTAATTAATGTTAACACACACTCACTCACATATATGTAATTTTGGAGTCAGCTTTGACTATAGTTAAATTTAAATAACTGCAAAAATGTTTATTACTGTCTGATTTTTTAAAATTAATAATGTTTTGTTGTATAGTACAAGTCCGACCCATAACGGATGGAGACTATAAAGATAAACGAGGATTGTATAGTACATTGATTAGTTATATATAAATCCGTTAGAAGAATTGATCAATTCATCAATAATTGCATATATATATATATATGTATATTAATATATATATTAATATATATATATATATATATATGTACATGTACATGTGCATATATGTATATATATATATATATATCTATATATATATATATATATATGTGTGTGTGTGTGTGTGTACTAATACATACACTCACTCATATACATGCAAACATGTATGTTTATATATATATATTAATTTTTCTTTTTTATTGTAAGTGATTAGAATTACAGTACTCCTCACTTTTCATTAAATCACCTGTTTGTTTGTTACTTATTAGATAGAAAGGTTAGTGCATTGGATGGTGAAATTATTTATTAGTACTTTTTACTAGCAGCTTACATGTTTGCACCAGACATGTTTATAAATAAATTTGTATATTTAATTAGTAATTGCATATTTAACTAAAATTCAAATGTTTATATTTAATTAAGTTATTAAATAATTAAATGAAAAAATAAACAGGTAAGTAATAGAAAAATATTAATTGACCACAAATAAATATATAAATATATTATATAACTAAAGTCCTCTGTATTTGTCAAACTGTACACATTATATCAAGCTGATATGTTTGCTATATCTGGACTTGTTTTAATTCTTATCAGCAGGTTTTATTATGTGAAATTATATGATAAAAATTATTATAACTATATAGTATATAGTATATTATAGTATATATATATATAATTATAAATATATGTATATATATAGTTATAAGTACTTTTATTAGCCATTAATCTAAATATTATTAATAATGTTATTGCAGTTTTTTGGAGCTAGTACAGTGCTGATAATAAAAAATGAATGATTCATGGAATTTTTTTTGTCTTTTTTGTTTCACAGGTGATATTTATGTATTCAGAATGATCCTCTATACATTACTTTATTGAAATGTATCCAAATTCAGGGCTAATTTGTTGGTTACTTTGAAATTATGAATAATGTTTAGTTTTTTCTGTGATTTTGATGACTAAGGTTAAAGTATTTTTTTTTAAAGAAGCACATATTTTATTTTAAATTGTCATTGTTGTGTGGTAATTGTAGTCTGTATTTCCATGTTATTTAGTGCCAGATTTTGTTGCATGTCATATTTGTTGCATTGTTTCATTGTTGGCTGTTGTTCTGGGTTGTCACTGTCAGTTACATGTTAGCTGTTCTAGTTTTGGTTGTTGCTGCTAACTAGTTAGCTTTTGCTGGTTAGATGTTGCATGTTGCTGGTTGTATGTTGCTCGTTAGATGTTGCTTGTTGTTGTTTAGATGTTGTTATTATTTGTTGTAGTTGGCTTCAGGTAATAATTTGTTGTTAATAGATGTTATTGTTTGTTGTCTGTATGAAAAGGATGGTGTTTGTTTTTTGTACAACTTTGAAAGGCTTGAGTGACTGATGTTTTTGTTATTTGGTTTTATAATTTTTTCTTCTTTTTGTGGCTTTCTTGTTGCTTTTTAACAAATGGATCAGTTTTTTTTTATATCAGAACAGTTTTTTGATAATTGTTTTGTGAATGATAATTTTAGAATATTAAATTAAATATTTGCTTTATTTTATTTAGGTAATCAAAATTCAGTTAATAAGTAGAGCAGTATTTTTGAGCACATAAGGTATGAATAACAAATTTTATGTTCAAGCCTGTTCTTGATATTTGAAATTATTTTTTCAAAAACATTTTATCTTTTGATGTTTCTAAAGTTGTGCATGGCATATGAGTGAGTGCAAACATTCTTTCCTTTATTCATTTACCCATCCATCCATCCACCCATCCATCCATCCATCCATTTATGTGTCCATCTTCAACTATTCATTTGTTTATCAATCCATCACTTTATTTATTTTTTTTTAATTTTTCTTTCTATTATTAAGTCTATTCAGGTCTTTGTTTTTATGTTTGTTCATTAATCTTTCTATTCATCCATTCATTCATCAAACATTCTGTTCATTTTCTATCCATCCATCCATCTATTAGTTCTTCATTTTTTCATCCATCCATCCATCCATCCATCCATCCATCCATCCATCCATCCATCTGTCCATCCATTCTTCTATCCATTTTACTTGCGTACATTTGTTATATTGGTGTTCATCTAGCAGATGTATTAGACACAACATTTTTGTGTTGAAACTCGAAGGACTATTAAATTATTATGTATAAAGAGATTATTGGAGTTGAAGAAAATGCAGGCCTGATATGTTGAAAACCGCTGGTCTATGTATATCTGTGTTTATCTATGTATGTATGTATGTCTCTATATATAATATATATATATATATATATATATATTTATATATATATACACCTATATATCTATTATCAATGATCTTTGTATATATCTATCTATGTATGTATATATATCTTAACTTTTTTTTATCACAATTCTTTCAATACCTCCACAAACATTGTTTCCCATATATCATCTCTACACCACTATTGTCCATCATTTGAGTCTATCTCTACATGATCACTCTCACCATCGTCATCACCATTATCACATTCAGTATCATGGACATCAGCATCATCTTGACTATAATTATCACCATTATTATCATCATCTTCTCCTTCTTCTTCTTCATCATCATCTTTATCAAGGTTACCATCATTTTTTCAACTTCTCGATTAACATCTGAAGAAAAATTAAAACATTTCTTTCATTACCATAAAGTTGTTATTTTTAAAATGGTCACAGCGAAACTGACATATTTATGGCTCGATCTGTCATTTTTAATGCTTCCATCTTCTATTGCTACTGCTGGCCATGACCGACCATAGTAGTTATTTTGAGTTTTTTTAGGGTAATTAATTATTTTATTTATTATTAAATAGTTCTAAATCTAATAAGCATAACATAAATCATTTACATCATTATTATCACATAGTAATCCTATCTATTATTATTATTTTTTGTTAGCTGGCAGACATGCTTGGCAGATCATAGTTGTGTATTATAATTTATGGATCTGAAATTTTTAAGAGAATTTTATTTCGCATTCAACGTTATATTATCATATCATTGCCTGTATGCATGCATTTTTTTTTAAAATGTCGTTGCCTACACTTAGATTCTTGTGTATGTGTGTTTGTCTAAGTGTGTGTGTATGTATGTATGTATGTATGTAAGTATGTGTGTATGTATGTATGTATGTATGTATATATGTATGTATGTATGTATGTATGTATGTATGTATGTATGTATGTATGTATGTATGTATGTATGTATTATTATTATTATTATCAAACACTTATAAAGCGCCTATTAAAATAAATATCTCTCACAAGCGCTATTGAAAAAAGAAAAATAAACGAACAGTGAAATAATGTACATCCTAACAATAGACGATATGATACAATCAATTACAATCGTTCATCGCAAATTTGATAAGTTTTCAAATTCTTTTTGAAATCAACAATGTTCATCTTTGACATTCTCATCGACATTGGCAGACTATTCCAGACGATTGGTCCCGACACTGCAATGTCTCTAGACGATGTCTGCAGCTGCGTAGTTGGTACAATCAACAAATTGACGTCATCTGATCGCATGCGTCTGCCAGTCGAAGACAGCGGCTTCTTTATAAATCTATCAGCCAGGTATTCTGGGAGTTGTCCGTTTATGGCCTTGTACATAATGACGCATATTTTGTAAAAAATTCGTTTCTTCACTGTTAGCCAATGGAGGCTATTCAGAATTGGCGTCTCATGATCGTATTTTCTGCCTCTAACAATCACCTTTGCAGTTCTGTTCTGAATAGACTGGAGGTCAGCGATAGACCTTTCTGGCAACCCATAAAACAGACTGTTGCAATAATCCAATCTCGAGTGGACAAACGCATGAACCAATAATTGTGTTACAGTTTGATCCAGATATTTTCTTATTCGGTGTATTTGTTGAAGTTGTGCTGAACATGATTTAGATTGCGATTTTATGTGGTCACAAAGTTTTAATTTAGTGTCAAAAATACATCCCAAATTGGTAGCCTTCTTGCAAAATTTTATCTCATTATCTTCAATCATTATTGAATCAATTTTGACTTTTGATAGCTGCTGCCAGGTGCCCACTGGTAAAAACTGTGATTTATTTTGATTAAGTTTTAGACAATTTTTTGATATCCATGCGTCAACTTCAGCCAAACATTTTATTAGTCTTTCAACTGCACTTTCGAACTGATCTGGTTCACTGCTGACTATTATTTGAATGTTGTCGGCATATGCATGATAAGAAAAACCAAAAGTATCAATTACATTAAATACATCAGCTGTATACAGTATGAACAAAATAGGTCCAAGTATTGAACCTTGTGGCACTCCGGATGACTTTGTTTTTACACTAGACAGATGCCCTTTGAAAAATACCTGTTGAGTCCTTCCAGTCAAATAGGAGTCGAACCACTTGATAACAGTTCCAGCAATGCCAAAGTCGTGAATTAATCTGTTCAATAGAATTTGATGATCGACACAGTCAAACGCTGCACTCATGTCCAAAAATGCGAGTAGAGCAATATTCTGTTTGTCGATGGAGGCAAATAATTCGGACAAGATATATAACAATGCCGTCTCTGTAGAATGGTAACGTTTATATCCAGATTGATAAATCGGGAACAAATTATGTTTATTTAAATGATTTACAAGTTCACCTACTACGACACGTTCTATGATTTTGGAGATGAAACAAATGTTAGATATTGGTCTGTAGTTTCCGAGCTCATTAAAATCTGCGTTTGTTTTTTTCAAGATGGGTATCACAACCGCATGCTTGCAAGAAACAGGAAGTGCTCCAGCACACAAACATAAATTAACTAAACTTGTGAGAAACGAGATGAAGAGGTCTATATGTTTTTTCAAAATGTGAGTAGGCAGGACGTCTAACATGCAAGATTTAGATGGCAGTTTAAGAACAATTTTTTTTACATCTTCTGAAACCACTGCAAAATTTGAAAACAAAGAGCCACTGTTTAATTTACATCCATCAAAAACTGGTTTGTCAACTACTTTGGTGTCTCGTTTTATTTTGTTGATTTTTTCTTCAAAATGATCAATAAATTGAGAACAAGTGATGTCTACATGTTCCTGAGACGATTCATTATCATAATTTTTGCAAATGATTTAATAATTACTTTCCACAAATTTTTAGGGTTTCCGTCGTTTTCCTTTACCAGTGTTTTCCAATAACAATTTCTTTTTTTAGAGAAACATTTAGTTTTATTTCGCAAAGCAGCAATCCACTCACTCCGACAGGCAGATGATAAATATTTTCTATATTTCCTTTCTTTCTGTCGACAAAGTTTTTTAACTGCTCTGCTTTCATCATCAAACCAAGGAGTTATCAAATCGCATCTGTGTTCTATAAAGTGAAGAGGCGCAACTTTATCAACAATTTTCTTCATCTCATCATTGAAAAGTTCAAATTCAAAATTTACGTCGTGACTCTGACGTGGCTTTGATAACGAAGAATTTGCAACATACGAAAAAAACAGATTTTCATCAAGTTTTCTCCACGATCTAGCTAATCTGCGAACTTTTTTTAAGACATATTCGTTTAATTGGTATGCTAACATGTATCAAACTGTGGTCGGAGTACACACCACTAGGAAATATATTACTAATTAAAACATGAAAATTTTCAGAACAAACAACCAGGTCGAGTGTTCCACCTCGTTCGTGTGTTGGCTCACTGATCAGGTTGGTTAAATTAAACGTTTCAAATAGATCAAGTAGTCTGTTTGCGTGACGATCATTGCATCTTTCAATGTGAACGTTAAAATCACCAACCAACAATATGCTCGAACTTAGGAGTGTTATGTTATCTAAAACTTTTGACAATTCTTCGAGAAATAATGCATTCACTTGAACTGAACCAGGTCTGTATAGAGATAACAAAACAAAATCTTTACTGTTTATAACAAATTTGAGAGCGACAACTTCGAACGTGTCAAAAGGAGGCAGATCAATCTTTTTATATTTGAAGTTTGATTTAAAGAATACTATTATTCCCCCATGATGCGGATCATTCAACCTCAAGAAATCCACATATCTAAACCCAGGTGGCATCGATGACTTTACTGATACATTTTCTGTGGAACCATGCCACGTTTCTACCAAAACAAGAATGTCTAAGCCGTCTTGAATCATTTTGTAAACTTTATCCGAGTTTGAATTAATTGATCTAATGTTTAACATTCCCAGCAATACATTACAATCACTCATCACATCATTTCTAGACATCACCTCTTCCGTGCTTATGCTACTGGTGTGTTTTGTTTCGTTTTCATTGGAAACGACACTATTTTCCATCTTCCAACCGGTCTTCTGACCCGGAATAAAAAACCTCGTTTATCATCAGATTCCAATTTCTTAGCTTTTTCAACCAGCATCTTGTATTCCTGTCTTTGTTCTTTTGTTAAGTCATCGCTTAGTCCAATGCCTGCATATTCTTCAGCCAGTGATTTTATTTTATACACGTTTTCCATTATTAAATTTTTGATCCCAATATTTTCAAGTTTTACCAACAAAGGTCTGATTTTATTTTCATCCTTCTTACCAAGCCGTGTTATCTTAAGAATATTTTTTTCTTTTTTTCCGTTACATCATCTTTTAAGTGTTTAAATATTGTCTCAACATTAGCATGATACATGTATGTATGTATGTATGTATGTGTGTGTGTGTGTGTGTGTGTGTGTGTGTGTGTGTGTGTGTGTGTGTGTGTGTGTATTTATGTATGTATGTATGTATGTATGTATGTTAAAACCAAAACATGATGAGTGATGAGTTTGACAGTTGTCAAACATCAAGTAACAAATGGATTAACACTTTGATTTGTATGTATGTATGTATGTATGTATGTATGTATGTATGTATGTATGTATGTATGTATGTATGTATGTATGAAGTAAAAATTAATTTCACATGAACTTTTACTGTCCAGTGCTATATGTATGTATGTAGATGCTATCAAGCTTTACAATAGTCTTCAATTTTCATCAATTAAAAAACTAGTGTCAATGTTTGATTGAATATTTATGTAACAATAATATTTTTTCATTTATGTGAACATATGCATGTAAAAACCAGTAGTATCTCAACTAAATTGTTATTAAGTTATTGGCACACCTTCTTTTTTTGATTAAACATAATTTCAATTGATAATTTAATTTCTATTTTAACTGTTGCTTTACCTTATCGCATGGCTGTTCAGTCAGAGTTGTCATGTGCAAACGTTACTTACGTATCTGTATGTTATGTCTTATGTGAGGTGCATGTTCAGCTACTGAACCGTTACCCATAAAGTTTGATTTCAACTAGGCAATGCTAAGTAAGAAAGATTTTTTTAACAGGCTCTGGGCTTGTCAAAATTGTACAATAATTGAACTGTACGTATTAAATTTCATTTTTTTTTCATTTCATTTGAGTGTGCTCAGAGGCTCAACTTCCTATCTTTAGCCTTCTAATTTTACTTTCACGAAGTTTCACAAGGTAATAGGAGTACCAAATGGTTGTTTGTTGCAAGTCTATATATTTATTTATATATATATATATACATTTATATTGATTACATATATTATTAAATACATATTAAGGTATATGCAACTATGTGTAGCTAACTATACACACTATGTATATGTATTAATATTGTGATTATGTCTTATTTACACGGTACAGTAAGTAAGTGGTACAGTAAGTAAGTGTCTGGGTGAGAATGAAATTTACGATCATCAACTATTTTGTCATGCTGTTTTGATAAATTGAAAAGATTTCACACACACATACACATGCAATCACACATACACACACACACACACATGCAATCACACATATATACACACACACATGCACAGTGAGATTTCTGTGATAAACTTTTTGTCTTCTCCTATCATTCAGTGTGCCTTTATATGTCTGCATATGTGTTTTTGTGCTGCGTGTTTTTCGTATTTGAGCGTGTATGTGCGTGTGTGTGTTTGCATGTGTATGTGTGTGTGCCTGTGTTTGTATCCTAAAAAGGTGTCTGTCTCTATCTGCTGGTACATAATTGAGTGATGTCAAACTTGAACCTGGAGTTTGCAGAATTAAAGTTCTAAGTACAAGTGAATGAGTGATTGATTGAACAAACGAATGAATGAATGTACGAAGGAAGGAATAATGGCAGGAATGAAGGAATGAATAAATGAACCAACCAACGCATGAATTAACAGATGAATAAATTTTCTATCTGCAGTTGTTACCTACTGGTTGTTAAAGTACTTTCTTGTCTATTGAGCGCAACTTATTATTATTTGTATTATTCATTGTTGTTGCAAACTGTATTATGCGTTAGTACAATTTAACTATTTCATTTAGTCTCATACTTTATTATTTTATAAGATAATTTAATCTTTGTTTTATAAAAAAAATTTAATCTCTATTCATAATGGATTAAGTGATAATATATATATATATATATATATATATATATATATACAATACATTCATGTTGAACACTGTGTGTTATCTTAATTTATATTCTCTTTAATGTTTTTTGCGCACGTATGTGTGCGCGCGTGTGTTTTAGTTTTGATGTTTGGAGAATGTTTATGGTTTGTTTATTTCTATTTGATCACTGTTCACTTTTCCACATGTGTGTTGTGTGTGTGTGTATGTTGTGTGTGTTGTGTTTGTTTGTGGTTGTTGCAGACGTCATAAATTAGACTAACAAGGTATGGTCGTTTGAAGCATGAGTATAGAATGTTTTCATTACATGACATTTTAATTAACGTTCGAATTAATGCTTATAATAAATTAATGTTATTAACAAATAATTTTTAATAATGTTTTTTTTTCAATGAGTTTTTTTGTTTTACGTAAATGTTCAATAGTTCTTAATGGCAATTAATTTTGTCCTATGTCCTTCTATTGTTTTTATATTTGTTTGAAATTGAAAAGAAAGGTTATATGCAAACGTTGTATCTATCTACCATGTATCTATATGTCAACTTTACATATGTGTATCTATCTACCAAAATCTATCTAACCTTAATAGAGATATTATTAATTAATGAATATGTTATGCTCGTATTGGCATTACTTAGTTAAGGTAGAGAGGATGTTATTGTTAAGAGATTAACATTAAGCATTCTTATTGACAGGTTCTTATTTCTTACAATAGATATATTTGTCTGTTCATTCGTTATAATGTAGATTGCATGCTGGGAAATATATGGATTTTTTTATACTGTATGTATGCATGAATGCATGCATGTATGTATGTGTGCATGTGAATGTAACGTGTATGTGTGTACATTATGTATGTATGTTAGTATATGTTTGTATGTAGGTATCTCTATATGAGGGTACATATATTTTTCTCGCGGCTAATGAATATTGATATTAATAGAAATAACACAATAGCAGCAGAAATTGTAAAAAATTTTGTATAAAAAGAAAATTGTCTTGTTATTTAGTATTTTATGATCTCACTTCATTATTGTAAGCATAATTTAATCTTCAATATTATTGTTGCAGCTATTGAAGCAATCAAGCAATAGACATTGATGACGAACTTACACATGTGAACGGAATGAACCATGCAAGCATGTTTAGGTAAATGTTCATCTCAGTTCCAGTCTGCCAACATGCTGCTAGCAAGTTTGTTGTTCATCTCCCTGGGAGTGCTGCTAAATATTGTGGATGTTGTTAGAGGCGGTGTTGCACGAGATAGCAACCAATCTATCCGTGAGTTGCTAGTTCTCTGAAATTGTTATTTTTTACTATTTTCAATTAAAGTTCACTAATTTTTTAAACTTTTAAGACTCTATTGAGATAAATTTGTCAAGAAATTTGATTTTTATTTTCAAGCTTTCGCTGTCAGCTTAATAACCATTTGGCAACATAATTTAAGTTGAATAATTTGTATAATTTGTAATGAGTTGGCAGTGCCAGCTTTCTTGAGTAATTAATTAATTATTTTTTATTTAGTACTTTCATTGCTAATGATTGCATGGTTATTATTGTAGTTTAAGAGTAAAAGACAGCAAATAATTACTTAAGAGGCTGTTAATTGCTTAACGCATATATAAAAACTCTTGTCTTAACATTGATTTCCTTTTGATGATGTGCTGCAGATCACCATCCCAATTTGGAAGTCACCTCTCAGGACGTCCTCCTCCACACAGCAACCACCACACCACGACCAGAACTTCAGCCAACCACTTCTCCGCCATCTATAGTAAGAGTCTCCACTAAATATTCCCCCGGTTGGTATTCCATTTATACACCTATGTAGTCTTAAGTTTCTGGCACAAATGTACTAACTTGAAGTGATTATTTATGCGTTTGTTTTATTTTTTTCTACTGTTTAAAATCTTTTTAAATTAATTAATTTCTTTTCATCTACCATCAAACAGATATCCAAAATAATTCTAGACAAAGCAGTAGAAATAGGAATAACAACAACAACAACACTTCTAACGGGAGCGACAACAGAAATAATGTAAATAATAAAAACAACATCAATAATAATAAAAAAAATAATAATGAGGACAGAATGTCTGAACAAAAGTTGAAGAAAAATGATCACTCCAAGAATTCAGATGATGCAAAAAGGCAACACATCAAAGGCAAACCATTGCCATTAGGTTACTTAACATTCATTCATTTGCTCGCTCATTCATTCATTCATTCATTCATTCATTCATTCATTCATTCATTCATTCATCCATTTTTTCGTTCATTTATTTGCTCAGTCATTCATTCTTTTATTAATTTCTTTACTCGTTTTTTGATTCATTTGTTTGCTGTATGTATATTCCACTGAAAACAATCACTTAATTCATTCATCTAATTTATTCTTTTATTTTCTCTTATCTTCTTACTCATCAGGCATTCATTCATCCTTAGGTTGCTTTGATCTGTTCATTAGTTTAACTTTCCATCCATCCATGTATTAATTTACAAGTCTCCATTAAATGTGTATGTGCTAAATGTGTATGGCGGATGGCAGCCAATGTGTACATATGAATGTACACCATATATGAAAACATTCACAATTTATTTATTCATTTGTCTATTATATCAATTATTAATTAATTAGATAATTAATTAATTTATTTATTGGTTCATCTTCAAATTTAACTTTTTCATCAACTTATCAATATTATTATTATTATTATTATTATTATTATTACATAAGAGCTGGTACTGCCACCGAAGCCTCGAGTCTCGATCATGTCTTCGTACACGGTGGCTGTCACGTGGACCCTTCCTGCTCCCTCTGCCACTGGCATCCCCATCGTCTTTATCAAAATTCAATACAGGGAGGTGGGCAACAACCACAACAACAACAACAACAATAATAATAATAATAATAATGGTGGTGGTAGTAGTCATAAGAGGAAGCAGGTATTTTGGAACACTGTGGAAGATGAGATTCCTCCTGATGCCACCTTCTATTACGTTAAAAAATTGAAGAATGGTTCGTTCGGTTTTTTTTTGCAATATCAAATGTAATAATTATTATTTTTCTTATTCCTCGATAGTAAATTTATGTGTCTTATTTAATCCATTCATCTGAAGAAAAAATCTCTGTGATGTGTTTTGTGAAGATTCATTTTTTATTTTCATAATTCGATGTGAAGATTTATTTTTTATTTTCACGATTCAATGTTATACGATTCCACATTATTCCACATCGTATGATACTATATTGGAGCCACCAGAACATAATTTCTTTTCAATGTTTAGACTGCAAAAGTTCTACTTTTCCAATTTTTGCAAATTGTTATTTTTATAAGCCTATAAAAACATGTTGTAGATATAAAATTTAATTCCTACGCTCATCTCATGTTGATAACGGCTAAGTTTGGTTAATAAAATGTTTTATTGTCGTCGTTATGTTTCATGTTAAGTTATCTCCATTGGCTGTTGTTTTTTTCTCTTGCCACTTTCGTTAATACAACTTTCTTTACTAGAGACTGAAGATTTTGGTGATAGCGCTGAAGATGATGATAAATTTACATTTTTAAAGCTTTTTAATAATTTATAAGATGAAACATTGATAGTAAGACGATACTAGATCCTTACTTTTAGGGTTATATCAATTTTTCAAACGATGATAAACAATAGACAATTGTTAATTGCAGGGGCCTCTTATTACTTCCGCCTTGCCTTCATCTATGCCAACCAAGACAACAGGGTCGGTCCTAACTCTGACAAGTTTGTTCTCGGTGGGTCGAATGCCATTAACTCCCGCCAGCCGATGTTCAGTCCCTACATTGTGGAGTTCAAGTCGCCGAGACCCAATACTCTGGAATTGAAATGGCAGGTTCGTCATTTGGGATGAGTGCGATGGGTTGATGGGTTATGTTGTTTCATGGTCCCAAGAACAGTCGAGCAAATAGGAAATTAATGAGTAAATAATAATTAACTTCAAGTTAGTGTGTGAATTATTTATAATTCCTGATCTCTTAATTATAAACTCTCATACCATATACATGAATGATGTGAGAATGCATCATTTGGCAAATTTATGTTATCATGGTTGTTGCAGTGTGTGTGTTGTGTGTGTGTGTGTGTACGTGTGTGCCAGTATGCTTGTATGTATGGTGTGTATGTATATATCTATGTTTACATTTGCATTTGCTCATATATGTCTGTTACATACATGCGGTATGTATGTATCTAGTGTTTAATATTAATATCCATTGGATGTTTTGTTCTTTTCCAGTCCTTCATTAATGTTTCACATTAACATTTTGAGGTTTATTTTCAACTTGTTTTATAGTGATGTGTTTTTGTTATCATCATCTTCGTTAAGGTAACTGATAATTCATAAACCTCATCCTGTTTCTACTTAATAATTTTTATCGTTCTTCATCATCATTTGTTATCATCATTCTTTATTTTTCATCATTATAACCTCTAGTTTTGTTTCGGGGGAAAAAAAATTTATTATTAAACTGTTGTTAACACATTTTACAGGTGTTGTGTATACACTTTGTGGGTGTTTTGTGTACATTTTGTACGTGTTATGGGTACATTTTGTACCAGTCATGTAGTAAGCCATAGACATGTTATGTAAATCATGTCTTAATGTTAATTATTTATGGTAATAAAATACATCGTTTTCACAGCGTAGTAAATGTATGTTCTAATGTGTTCAATGTTTTAATTATTGTTATGATTTAATGTATCGTCTAATGTATATATTGTATATGTATGTGTATTTTTTGTTTATTGCTTTGTAGTGTTATTAAATGGCTTACTCAATTTAAATACTTATTATTATTTACGCATGTAGCCTGCAGTCACTGATGTATTGTGTTGTCTAGTTACGTTATGTTGCTACTACAATTTATCATAGTAAGTATATTGCCACTTTTATGTTGTTATCGTTAGCGTTGAAGACATGTCGTTATTATATCATTGTTGCAATTGTTCAGTGAATAAATTTTATGTCGTGAAAATGAATGAATGGATGAGTGAATGAATGAATGGATAATTGGAATGTTTTAATTTATTGCTTCTCATTCAGATGTTGATAATAGGCTTGTTTGTTCGTTGACAGTCAATGATTAGTGAGTCCTCCTGCAATTGAGCTTTCCCTCCAATGCATTCATATCCTCATCTATGTACTTATTCTTTTTTTTGTATGAAACTTTTTATATTTTCATATTTTTCATTTTTAGGATTTATCTTTTGTTACTCTTAATAAGTGTGCTATGTTTTTGTTGTTATATTACTATTTGTTGTGTGTGTGTGTGTGTGTGTGTGTGTGTGTATGTGTGTGTGTGTATTTGAACGTATGTGATGTGTTTCTAAACTTGAATGTTTGCTTAATCAGCTAATGCTTTTAATGAAATAAAATGCTAGCAGAACGTTTATAATGAATAAGCTTTTGAAAACAACTTTTGTTTATATTTGTATCCAGTTTCCTTGTTATCCAGTACCATGTGTATGTTTATGTGTATGCCAAGATCTTGTGTTTCTCATTTGCTTTTTCTAAACTAATTAACAGTTTTGCTGGATCCATTGTTAATGTTATTGTTGATGTTATTGTTATTATTAATGTTATTGCTGTTATTACTTATGTTATTGCTGTTATTGTTAATGTTATTGTTGACGATGTTGTTGATGTTAGTTCTTAAGTTCATGTCAGTTCATTTGAATGGCGGTTTGTACTTGGTGTGTTGCTTTTACGTTGTACTGCCGCCTTTTCATTTATAGTCTCAGATAAAGATGTTAATTGATTAGAAGTATTTTTTGAGATTAAGGTGATTATTTTAGGAGTTAGTTAATGATTTCAACTTTTCGTTGGTATGCTGCACTATTTGTTTCTTTATCTATTATTACCATGTGTTTTAACTTGAAAGATCACGTTTATTTTTAGTAATTTTAAGTTCATTATTTTATTTTTCACATAAAATAGATAACGACCTGAAAAAATAGCTCAGATGGTTAGAGTGCAGTTACATTTTAGCACTGGAAACAATCACACACTAACCCAGTTTAAATGCGCGTTGATCCCATTTCAAGGACTTTTTTATATTTTGATCTCATGGCAGAGAGCTTGTGCATTAGCATTAGCATGCTTGATGTAAGTTTTCATGTGTATGTAGTTTGTTTGTTGAAGCTTCGTTTAAATAGCACGAAGCATCTTTAAAACGAAACAGCAGTGCCAGTTCTTTGCTACATGTTAGCTACATTTGACGAGTTCGCATTCAATTTTTTCAAATTCAAACTTCCATTTATTGACAGTATTTTTGTTGTTTTTGTCATTTCCGAAACATCTCAAATATCCAGCAACACCAACCATCACAAACATGTGTGTGCGTGCGTGCGTGTGCGTGCGCGAGTGAAGCTTTTTAAATGTTATTAATAAACCAGCATAATGTAATAAATAATATATTTATTTCCTTGTGTCGTTGCACCTTAATAAATTATTTTTAGAAATCATCCACATCATAATTTACAGCAAGTTTACGACAGGAGCGTAACAATCCTCGGTTACATAGTCCAGTACAAAGTTTTCAAAGTAAAGCACGAAGATTCTGATGTCGATGATGACGACGACGACGACGATAATGATGATGGTGGTGGAGGCAACAACAACAATCATAACAACTACAACAATAGGAAAAGGAAGAAAAATAAAAATGCCAACTCTGAAAATTCCAGCGAAGACGATGACGACAGCTACAATGAAGTTAATATTAAAAATCCTGCCGTGAAGACGCTGTCCATCAAGAACCTGGAGGCCAACACGGCATACAGTGCCAGGATCCTCTGCTACAACAAGGAGGGCAGAAGTGGATTCAGCAACACTGTGGTCTCGAGGACTATGGGTTTGTTTGTTGCTTATTCGCTATTCATTCACTCTTCATTCACTCCTCATTCACTACTCATTCACTATTCTGGTTTTATTTGTGTATTTTAACATTTCGTTAAAAGATGTGAAAGTTCAAAAGAGGATTTTGCGTAAAAAAT